CGACTTGGTCTCAGCGGGGCGCATGCGGCCACGCATGTAGGGGTCGAAGCTGGTGTAGAGGGACTGAAGGACGACACCATTGTCAGGAGCGGCAACGCCGGCATCATAAGGTGCGGTCTCGATGGCCAGGTGCTCCCCAGCGACGGGGTATCCCTGAGGAACCTTCTTGAATGTGAGAGCCTTGTTGACAGACATTATGTATGTGTGGTAAGAATTGTATACGTGTGGTAAGAAAGATAAAGATGGGAAGTAGAAATTTAGTTGAAGTATGGGAGCTCTTTATATGACGATTGAGCTCTTCATAAAAGCGGGGCTGTACCGAGGATCCGAATACATTTTCTTTTTACTTTTTTATTATTATAAAGCAGATGGATCCCGGAGAAGCTTCTCGAGATGGTGATGCTTCTGTCGATAGACTCCACTTTCTACAGTTTCTGCTCTGATATGCATAATTTATGTGCCGATACTCCTAGCGTACATTCAACAGGTGTACCATGAACACATAACGGTGGCAATGGAACCAGTTTTTTTTACAAAACAGTGGGGAACGGATGAATTCAAGACACCTCAGGCCGGCGGAGACGGCCATTTTGGGTAGGAAAACCGCGACCCTCGGCATCTCAACAAAATGAAAGAATTGTTGATTAATATACAACCCGATGAAAATGGTGATTGTTAAGCAACGGAGCAGCTGGCCGTTTTAGGATAAAGCGGGGATGGAGGTGTGAGAAGTACATATAACTATGTTGTATACCATCATTCTTGTTCTGCTGAGAAGACATTCGCACTCTTGGGAAAATTATGTATTAAGTACATGAGTATATAGTCATTGCCGGAACATGCAACAGCATTCTAAACCCTGAAGATGCGCGATTGAATACACCTAACCACGCCTGGGAATAACCTAAGCCTTGCCAGCGAGTGCGCCAGCAGCCTTGTCAATGAAGTAGTGCTTGCCCTTGATCATCTTGACCATGAAGCTGAAAGGCACAAATCCAAAAATCTGACCGGTACCACCGGCTTCACCAACAGGCACGACCATCATAATGCTGTCGCCCTGGTCGTAGGTCTTGATGGCAGTGCCGCCTACAATGGCGGCTTTCAGGTTGGCCGCCGCCACTTGCGCTTGCTCCGTAGCCTTGAAACTGAGGCGCATTGAGTTGTTGGTGATATCTCCAGCAGCAAAGATAGGCAGAGTTGACCCGTCAGTCGACTGAACACGCATCTCTTTATTCACTGTCACCCAGCCGTCCTTATCCAGGAATTGAGCTGGAATAAAACTGTTGTTGGGATTCGCACCGGTAGTAGGGATATAGAGGTCAGCCGAAAGCTTGTCTCCGCCTTCCAGTGAGACTGTCCAATTCGAACTATCGTCGGCCGGAGTCTCGACACCGACGACTCGCTTCGAGGTCACGACCTTGACCTTCTTCTGCTCCAGCAGCTTGCGTGCGGCAGAGCTGGCGGATGACTTGAGCATCGGGAGCACGCGATCTGTCGCTGAGACAAGCGTGATCGAGACCTTGCCGGCATTGCCACTTTGTTCCACTGCTTCAGCAAGCTCACCAGCCAGCTCAACACCGATAGGGCCTGCACCGCCAATCACGATCTCCTTCGCCCCAGCAATGTGTTCTTGTGCCGACTCGATCAGCTGCTCCATGTCATTGTGGCCCGACTGCTTGAATGGAATGGATGTGCCAGTGAGCGAGCCAGTAGTGGCAGATGTAGTGCTGCCCGATGCGATAACGAGATAATGATATGATAGGGTCTTGGGCTCGCCCTCGTTGGGAGTCACGGAGACCGACTTGGTAATGGGATCGATAGCAGTTGCAACTCCAGGAAGGAACTCGAACGCGTCGGGGCGGTAGCCTGCAAAAGCATCCTTGATCGAGAGCAAGTACTGCTCGGGGCGGAAGGCTTTGGGTTTGGCGACGATTCGTGGGGCGGCAATATTCCAGAAGAAGCTGGTTGAGGGGTTGATCAGCACAACGTTTGCATCAGGTACATCACGAAGCACAGAGTGAGCAATATGAAGGCCTGCAAATGAGCCTCCAATAACAACTATATCGATAGGTGCCATGATATAGAGTCAGTGAAGTGGACAAGGGTGAGTTTCTTGTTTTGTTTTTTTTTTTTTGGAAAAGGGACGGGATGCCTGTCTTATATGTGACAGATTGGATATGCTCTCCGCGCGTACATGCAGGGTCAATAATGGGCCTAAGATACGTATATTGTCTGTTATCAGCCCTTTAGAGTCTCAAAAGGGAAAGCGTTGGTCAGCAAATTTTCTATTTCTAATTCTACCCAAATGCTGACAACCTTGGAAGCCCCATTATCGGCGTCGGGGCTCCAGGGTTTTCAATGACGAATATCTTTTGATTGGTTGACTTTCTCTAAGGTTCGGGCTGAACCTTGGATTTGATGTGTTTGGTCAATTTGACATGTTTGCTTTGTTTGATACAGATGGTCAAAGCTCAATTGGGTACAAAGTAATTGTGACTAAGCACTCACCTACACCCTTTCCCGGTGTAGGTGAGCCCACACCTATTAACAAACCCATACCTGTTAACAAAAAAATCAACATTTCAATTTTAAACCTATTTTTTACCATCAAAACCATGCCGAATTCCTCCGAAAAAGAAGAGATTCTTCTCTCAAATGCCCTCGAATCCTATAAATCAGGCCAATTTACTAGTATTCAGGCCGCAGCCTCTCATTTTGGCGTCTCAAAGTGGAAGCTTCGAAACCGAAAGGACGGTAGAACAAATGGAAAAGGCCGTGCAGCTACCAAAAAGGCCCTAAATTCCTCACAAGAGGCCTCTCTTATTCGCTGGATTGAGCACCTTAATTCAGTATATACACCGCCAACTGCTATCGATATTGAGGGTGCTGCGAATCGTCTTTTACAACATTGTGGTTCCGACCGGCAGGTTGGCAAAATGTACGGCTATCAATTCATTCAACGCCTACCACCCCATATTACTCTACGCACACAAAAACCAATGGAAAAAGCAAGGATTGAAGCTGAATTACATAGTGATTTAGTTCATTGGTACCAGGTTTTTGGCCAGTTTCTTAAAAAGAATAAAATCCAGGCCCATGAACTATACAACTGGGATGAGACTGGCTTTCAGCTTGGTATTGGAACCAAGGAAAATGTTGCTTCCACCCGTAAATATGAGACTATTGCGACCGGTGGAATAGGCCAGAATATTACCGGCATTGAATGCATCTCTGCCGATGGCTGGGTTATGCATCCATGGTTTTTAATGCGTGGTTCCGAACAAATGGAAGATTGGTTCGATGGCGATGATGATCCTACCAACTATAGGGTTATTAAACCAACTGCTAAAGGCTGGACGGATGATAAAACTGCTATTCAATGGCTATTAGATTTCCATTATGCCACTAAAAAGCGAGTCGCTAAAGGCAGACCTAGGATTTTGGTTATGGATAATCATGGGTCTCATGGAACCCCGGAATTCGAACATATTTGCCAAAGCTTCAACATTATACCTTGGTGGTTTATACCAAAGTTAACACATCGATGCCAGCCTCTTGATGGCAAGCCATTCTCAGTTCTTAAACAAAAATTCCGAAAAAAGAACAATGAGATTGTACGATGGGGTGGAGATGTTGATGATAAACGACATTTTCTTCGAATGATCAAAACAGTTCGCAAAGACACCTTTAAGGCACAGACTATTAAATCATCATTTCGAGATACAGGTCTTTGGCCTTATGATTTACATATTGTTTGTGATCAAATTGATCCTGGCTGGGAAGATGAACCAGTCCTTGAGATATATGGTCATACGCCGTCACCAGACCGTGAATTTCCCAGTTCGGCAACGAATTCGCCGCCTAATTCAGATCAAAGATTCTCAAAGGTTGAGAATAAGGTTCAATTGATACTCGAGAACGATGAACCAGACCTTCCAAAGCTTCAAAAGCATATAGACCGTGCAATTCGTGGTGGTAAGCAGGCTATCCAAGACCTAGCACTTGCAAAACAAACGATAAAAAGGATGCAAAGCCACAAAATTCCTATCAAAAAATCTAAGCGCATGGTAAAAGGTGCTGCTAAGAGTCCATTATCATCAATTGCAGGCAATTCGAAGGTGTATCGGCGATGTACGAAGGAATCTAAATTGGATATTCGGCATGAGGCTGGGAACGCAAGGATTCGAGACTACTGGCATCGCGCGAATCAGGCTCTCAAAGAAAAAGAAGAGGCATCAGGGGATAGAGATTATCTTGATGTTAATAGTGAGCTATTTAGATATGTAGATCCAGATGGTATGGTGGCTGAAAAATAGGTTTAAAATTGAAATGTTGATTTTTTTGTTAACAGGTATGGGTTTGTTAATAGGTGTGGGCTCACCTACACCGGGAAAGGGTGTAGGTGAGTGCTTAGTCACAATTATGTCAAAGCCCTGGAGGCTATACATACAACATAGAAAAGTCATCTGCACAAAGTATGATTTTTACCGCCTTCGTATACATCTAAGACGACATATAAAAAGAACATCCAAAAACACATCGAAGTGTTCTTACAAATAACATCGTTAATACCATATTTATTGGTCGAAATAGATCAGAGTATTAAAGTCTTAGGTCGTCACGGACACAGGACGCATAAGCGGCCAACTGTTCTTGTATGTACATCCATGGATACCCATGCACATGTTCGGGTATAAAATATACACATAGTTGAAAAGAAGAAATAAAAAGGCTTCAATACATGCTGATCATATATCAACCTCCAGAATTTCTTTGCAAAAAGCCGAGTTCCAACGAAAGGGGCTCGTAAGGAGGAAGCCACTTCTTTTGTTCATCTGAAGAGGGCTGGCTCAACAACTATCTTGCCCATTCACACCGTGAGACTGTTGGATGTACTTAGATCTGCTCTTCCGTCCACCCCCTCTCTCTTCCTTCAACTTCCTCTTTCCTCGGCTTGAATATTCTCGTTGAATGGCAATATTGGTTCCAGCCACATGGTTCTAAAGCACAATCCAATCTACCTCCTTGACCGGAACATCCCATCTCTCCAAATTCTCGATAAGGGATAAGTTCTTCTCCGCGCAAAGATCGACGCACCCTACCTTGATAAGTCGCAAAGGTTCTTTGTGAGAGGACGAAAGATCTTTGCTAAATCCCTGTAAGATCAACCCCTCGGCCTCAGAGATCTTCATCACATAGGTACAATACTTTGGAGGTAGCTTCGAGAGCCAGTCTTCCAATGCAACCGTAAGTCTCTTAGGTTGTGCTATCTCTTCCCCCCAATAGACATTAACAGTAATCTTGGCAATCGGTTCTTTGGAGTTGGAGCATTTCTGCCCTAGAATGGCGGCCTTCCTCATCCGAACAGATCCAGATGGAAGAAACTCCCATGAGTCAAACACGGGGCCCCATCTGTCCTCGAGCACTTGGATTGGCCACACGGTTGTTGGTACGGGAGCTCCCAGCTTCTCGAACGGGAGTAGAGAGCCTCTTTGCAACTGCCTGAAAAACTTGCTGCCGCTGGAAGAATCAGGAGATCCAATGGGTTTCCGGGCCATAGCGAACTCGGGGCCAAACTTGCGAGCCGCTTCCTTCACAAATGATAGCGGGTAAATTCCCAGGACAAGATTCTCTTCTTGGTCAGTTTTAGGATTGAACCATTCCACAACATTCACAGCAGACATGATAGCTTCCGCCCGACGCCCTCTGCAGTTTCGCAAGTTCCCCTGTATCAAGATAGAAGTCCTGGAACTGCTAAAAGGAATCTGACTTTCCTCAAAAAGGTACGATAACTTAATTTCACCATTTGGAGGGTTCCGCTTGGATTTTGGTAATGACGCGGCTGTCTCTTGGACACCTTCCGCTTTTTGGCCTTGAGGATTATGTTGATAGAAGTCCAAATCAGATGCCAAATTGACCAGCTCACTCATCGTGATAGGTCTGCCAGCAGCAGCTTGGAGTGGCTCCCAATTTCGAGACATCGGGATCATATGCGGGCAAAGTGAAATCTCCTGCAGTGTCCATAGCGATGATAGCCAAGGTGACCGCACGTCCTTATCTTGTAAATTGTTTTTGTCGGCGTTTGATGACCTAAAATACTTGTCGTGAGACAGGTGGCGTCCCAGCTTGGAGGACGCGTTGTTGCAATGATCCCATAGTTTCCGGTATTTATCTTCAGGTATCTTGTAGTGGTGCTGGCCTGTAGTGAGATACAAGTACCGAATGGCCAACCAGTTCAAAATGTGGTTGTCCTCTTGCCAGTCATCAATGTAGTTGAACCAAGCAATGCATTTGCTTGAGCCCTTGAAGATGGCTGCTTGCCGGGAGATCTCTTCTCGAGCAATAATTCCTAAATCGCCTGTCCTCACTTGTGGGATGCAAACTAGGTCCAGCCATGCGTAGTTGATCTCTTCTTTTGCATTGAGATCTTTGAGAGCTTTAAGTTCCTCCGGGATGCGACAGATATCAAATAACGAATTTTGCGGAACCTCCTATTCACAGCCCTTAAGTTTTGCCGTTTTCTCCTTTCTCCATCTTCCCCAAGTGTGGCTGATACAGACATATGGAGGCCTTTTCCCTTTCAGGTCACTTGTCTTGATCGTTCGCTTCTGATCAATTTGCCATAGGTAGGCTGGATATCCATTCAGATCAGCCTTGGAAAACCATGGGCATGCCGTCAATCGCACAGGAGTGTGAGAAGGGCGATCTGATGTCTGCGCAACGCCCTTTGCGGCCGGATCCAAGGAATGATAAATTGAATGACAGAGCGCCTGAGAGGTTGCATGACTATAAGCGGTGCCCCTAACAGTGTCCAGAGTGCCGTAGTAGCCGGCAATATGGGGAGTCGTACAATTTTTGGAGAAAAGACTGTCAAGAAAATTGTCGAAAAACTCATTGCGAAAGAGTATTCCCAGAACCGCATGGTATGCAGATTGATCCCGCAGTGCCGTCTCCGGCAAGAGGACTGGTCCCATGTAGCTATGAACACTGGATGGCCGTTTTCCTGGGCTAGGTGATATGATGGCTTCGCGTGCCGCTTGTGCCAGCGGCGGAGAATGATATTTTCCATCATGCCACTCGTTCAAGATTTTCCACGAGACCATCTGGCTTTGCCCCATCGAGCCAAAGAACCTTTTCCAGTCGTCTTGACCTTTCCTTTCATTTTTTCTCAGCAATCGAAAGAGGGCTGTTCCGGTCCTCCAGACAAACACGTCATGGAACTCTAGTCGTTTGCTTGGGGGAAGTAACTCCAGAAATCCCTGCTGGCCGCTCGCGAGAAATCGACCCAGATGTATGGCCGCAGCTGGAGTCAGACATTGACCTGTAAAATGACAGATGTCTTGAAGCGAGAACAGTTCACCCATGTCCAATTGCCCTGGAAAGAGCCGGATTGCTCTTCGTCTCAGACTGCGTCGGGAAAAGAAAGGATCGCTTTCAGTTGAGATATATATAATATATCTTGGATACATGCGGGTAAAATTTGGATGTCTCCAGACTTACCTAGGTAGTTATTTTAAGTAGAGGACTGTTGTTGAAATTCCCAACTACCTACCTAGGTACCTAGTAGACAACATTGAAATGTTGAATAGGTAGGTACATATATGTATTGATCAATCAATCAATTAATCAATCAAAGTTCAATTAACCTATTGTAATCTAACTAGTAGTAGTAGCATATGATGTCGGATAAAAGAAGTGGATTCTTACTAGCGTGTGGACCTTTATTCAACACCCAGTTATGCCTGATTCTCATGGTATCAACGGCTGAATAACTAATAGCACAAAGGCCACAATATTCTGTCCGATCCGGTAGTTAGAAGAACACATCTCAATATCAGTCTGAATCACCTAAATGGTCCATTCGGATACAAGCGCGTACTGTAATCCTCCGAATTCACATATGATTATATAGGCGCTTCACCTAACGGAAGTAAGAACTCGTATTGAATTGTGGTTCTACCCAGCCAATAGAATATATGACAACTCTGTGTTTTATTACCCCTAGTTTCTAGCAATTTGTAGAGGGTTTACGGCTGACTAAGTACAAAACATAAACAATACAAACATGGTGGAGCTGCATCATCGAAGTATTGTTGGGTGAAAATGTTTTCGATCCTCCCTGTATCGAAGAAAAGTGCAGTACTTTAAGCCTGAGTCATTATCTCGGAGGCAGCTCAGGTGCTTTGAGTAGCGATGTTTCCTCCTTACACACGGATGTTCTATGTTTGTCCAGCCTCCCCAATGCCTCTATATATCTTGGCAGCTAGCTCCCTGTCTTCCAGAGGAACAACCATCTTTCTTTCCTTCTTCACACAGACTCTGACAATGTATAATATACATGTACGTATGCTTTGGATATTCCTGGCCTTATAGCATTCAAAGTGCCATACAAGTGCCTAGGCATACAGGTAATTACTAAGGGTCACTCACAGTCCTAGCTGCATTTGTATCTTTCAAAGATGCTCTCAGCTCAGGCGAGGGAGAACCTAAGATACCTAGTTATACAGCAATGGCATCAAGCTCCAGGTCATCTGTTTCACAAGCGCCCAACAAAGCTATTTCCCAGTGTCAGCTACTTCCAGATGGACATGACATTCAAGAGTGGGTCCAAGTCTTTGCACCTCAGCGAGCACAAACACTACTTGCTACTACTACGAGTTGCAACTGGTATATGTTACTGAGACGTGGATGGAGTATATAAAGAAGAAGATGGTCATTTGTCCATGCACAGATCACTGATACTACCACAATCATGACTTCACGCAACACTCCCTCCTCGTGGGTTACCCTCACACGGATACCACTGAAACAGTTCGTGATGACTATCCTCTGTCATGCAAATTAGCTGGTCTAACACTACTTCAAGCCTGTACTCCCAAAGCCGACTGAGAGCCCGCAAGTTACAGGAAGCCTAGCGCACTTGTAGTACCGAGTAGCCGTTTCAGCTTGACCAAAACATCGGTTTTTTCGAGTTCCAGTCCACCAGGCACCAGTCATCTATCTCTTCATTCTGATCCTGCCACTTCTCATCGGCAGCATTCTCGGGTCGATCCCAAATCCCACATGTCGTAGAACATCTACGATCCGAACAGAAATCTGAGGCTTAGGAGAGAATGTTTCCCCACTATTCGGACAAGTAAATCGTTAAAACCATCAAATTCATCATCGACTACAACGCTTCAAATGCAGCGTGAATCTACCACTATTCAGCCTTGGCTAAATTGAGCGGGAGAAAGAAAAATCTCAATGCCTGAATGGACAGTATGAAGGAAATCACGAGAAGGAAAAGTAAAAAATAAAAAATAAAAAAGGACCCACAACTTGCCCTGTGGTATCTAGTTATCAGCTCTAATCTTATCTGGAGAGAAGATTTTCAAATCGAGTCCTCATTAAATGAGAGAGTAGTAGCTTTTCATATGTATTATAATGAGACGTGGCAAGGCGAGGCGAACTGTAAGCCCAGATATGAGATTAGTCGACTTTTTCGGGTGTCGTTTAGTTTGATTGGCAGGTGCTTTTGGGTTGGCAATTTAGCATCCATGGATGTTTGTCGTGTTTGCCACAGTTGTTTATTTCCCCCTATCTCGGGATGTTATCTGTCGATAAGGATCATGTGACCCCGTAATTATTTTTGCGCTTCTTCTTGGAACGCCCCAAGTGCAATTTGCAACTTTTATCATCTTTCCCATCCATTTTTTTCCATTGGCATTATATCATGATGCTTGGAACAGTTCGCCGATTTGGCGTTTCACACGCGCTGCGCGCCACTACGCCTCGCTCAGTCTCAGCACGGTTGGCTACTCACCTGCCGAAATGGCAAGCTCCTTCAACCGTTTCATCTCTTGCTGCCACCAGATCGCTTCATTCCTCTTTCCCGAGGCTGTCTGCGGCAACCGCGGAGGCAGTCGTTGAAGAGACCGAGCTCTCCAAGCCTACGATAATCACAGAGTTTTCCGAGCTAGCCGCGGAGAATCTGATTCACAACAAGATTATCAAAAACATCATTCAACCTGACCGGATGAACCTCAAGACTATGACTGAGGTGCAATCTCTTACTCTCAACGAGATTGTCAAGGGCGATGATATGTAAGTTTGATTGACAGATTTGCCTTGACATTGATTGGTTCGCTAACCCGCGAATCTTTTTTTCAGTCTCGCCCAGGCCAAAACAGGAACCGGCAAGACGCTTGCTTTCCTTGTACCTACCCTTCAGAACATTTTGAATGACCCCAGTGTCGATGTGTCCAAGGTTGGCCGCCGCTCAGCCAGAACTGCTCCTTCAGAAATCCGTGCTCTTATTATCTCTCCTACCCGCGAACTCGCGGAACAGATCGCAGTTGAGGCTAAAAAGGTCGCGTTTGGCACTGGTCTTATTGTCCAGACCGCTGTTGGCGGCACGCAGAAGCGTGCTGGTCTTGCCAAGATCCAACAGGAGGGATGCCACCTGCTCATCGGCACCCCGGGCCGTCTTAAGGACATCTTGTCAGACCCTTGGACTGGTGTTTCTGCCCCCAAGCTGAACACCCTGATCCTCGACGAGGCAGACCGCCTTCTGGACCAGGGTTTCGCTCCTGATGTTGAGGAGATCCAGTCACTGCTTCCCGACCCCACAAAGGTGGACCGCCAGACGCTCATGTTCTCGGCCACAGTTCCCAGAGAAGTTATGCAGATGGTTCGTCAGACCCTGAAGCCAAACTTCAAGCACGTCAATACCGTTCGTGAAGATGAAGTTCCCACCCACCAGAGAGTGCCCCAGAAGCTTGTGTACACGCGCGGTCTTGAAAACAGCCTGCCCGCCCTTCTCGAGCTTGCTCAGAACTGGCAAACACGTCGGGATAACGGCGAGGAGCTGCGACCTTTCAAGGCCATCGCCTACTTCAACTCCACCGCTGAGACCAAGGTTTCCGCTGATGCTTTTAACGCCATTGCTCGCTCTTCGGAGTTCCGCCAGTCTTCTATGGGCAACATGAGAATGCTTGAGATTAACTCGCGTCTCACGCAGGCACTCCGCACTCGCAGCGCAGACAACTTCCGCAAGGCTCGCGAGGGCATCCTGTTCTCATCGGACGTGACTGCTCGTGGTATGGATTTCCCGGATGTCACCCACGTCGTGCAAATTGGTGTTCCTCGGGACCGTGAGACCTACATTCACCGCCTCGGTCGCACAGCCCGTGCTGGCAAGGAAGGTGAAGGCTGGCTGTTCATGCACCGGGCCGAACAAGATGTCTACAGGAAGCGCCTGGGCCGTCTCCCATTGAGCGTGGACACAGCTTTGGAATCAGCCGATGCAGATCTCTCCCAGACCTTCTCTAACGACACACAAGTTGGCAAGATCGTCAACAAGATTAACGAGGGTCTGGCCCAGTGTGATGGTGCTACCAAGGTCAAGTCCTACATGGGCCAACTCGGAACTACCACTGGAAACTTCAACAGCAAGAGAGAGGCCATCCAGGCACTCAACCAGATGTTCACCGTCGGATACAACATGCAAACCCTCCCCGAACTCAGCCCTAGATTGATGCAGCAAATGGGTCTCAACCGAATTGACGGTGTCAGCGCGGGTGACGGCTCCCGCCAGCGACGCGAGGGCGGATTCTCCCGTGGTGGTGATCGTGGTGGTGACCGTGGTAGCCGTGGTGGCTTCTCTCGTGGTGGCGACCGTGGTGAGCGTGGTGGTTTCTCTCGCGGCGGTGACCGTGGCGAGCGCAGCGGCTTCTCCCGTGGTGGTGACCGTGGCGAGCGCAGTGGCTTCTCCCGTGGTGGTGACCGTGGTGAGCGTGGCGGCTTCTCTCGTGGTGGTGACCGTGGCGGCTTCTCCCGTGGCGGTGACCGTGGTGACCGCTCGTCTCGTCCTCCTCGCCGCTCTTTCGATGATTCCTTCGGCGATGACTCATTCCGGTTTTAAGTTTGAGTTGAATCAGAGATCAACTCTTGCCAGCTACGCTGGCAATTATAATTTTTCTGGCACTTTCGCGGATAGCAAGGTTGCTGTCCGGTGAGACCAGATCAGCCAAAAGTGAAAAGATGAAGCAACCATTCTGGCATTGGGCGGCGTTCTCCCATCTCTTTTTTTCGGACTGTCTTTGTGTACTATACACCCTTGGGTGCTTTGTGTTTCTAATTTAGACTTCTCTCCTCTTTGTCTTATACTCTATTTGGTTGTTCTGCGGGATTCTTTTCTGGATACGAAGGACTGACCATCACTTTTGATTTCATGTACACTATCTTCTAGTTATCTGCTATTATTCTATCCAGGACTCAATTTTAATCTTGACAAAACATCCTTCTACCGAACCAACATAATAATACACAGGAAAAAGACTTGGCCGCCTCTAACCAGATCCATTTTCGAGACATCTAAATCGTTGAATATGGGACAAAAAGGAAACCTTATATCACACATCCCAAGTATATCGCAATATGCACGAAACAGTCACTCGTGAGTACAAAAAAAAAACCAAACAGAAAAGAAACAAGACATGCACTTAATCACGGGCGATCATGTGCTCTCTGGCAGGACCAGTACCGATCCACTTGACAGGAACACCACCAATCTCACGCTCAATGAACTCAACATAAGCACGAGCATTAGCAGGCAGATCCTCGTAACGCTGAACACCCATGGTGTTCGACTTCCATCCAGGCAGAGTAACATACTCCACCTGAATCTTGTCGACGACATTGGGATCCGCAGGGAAAGTACCAGTAGTGCGCTTTCCATCCGGCAAGATATAAGCAACACCAACCTTGATCTCATCAAAGTCATCAAGGATATCAAGCTTAGTCAAGTTCAGCGCGGTGTAGTGGTTGATAGCGTGAGAGTAGCGGCAGAGGACAAGATCCAACCAGCCACAGCGACGACGACGACCAGTAGTCACGCCGAACTCACGTCCAACCTGCTGCAGCTTCTCGCCGGCTTCGTTGAGCTGCTCGCTGGGGAAAGGTCCAGAGCCAACACGCGTCGTGTAGGCCTTCACCACACCGATCACGGACTTGATGCTGGCAGGGTTCAGGGCAAGCGCTTGCACGGCTCCGCCCAGACCGGTTGATGACGAGGTCACGTACGGGTATGTGCCGTGGTCGAGGTCGAGCATGAGGGCGTTGGCGCCTTCGACCAATGTGTTGGGCGAGTTCTTGTGCTCCTGCAGGAACTCGAGCTGGTCGACGATGTGGGGCTTCAGGAGGTTGCGGTATTCCTAGGGATTGTCAGCGATGTGGTTGTGATGTGGATGAACAAAAAACCAGGATTTGTCCATTTCTGCTGTTCGCGCCATGGGGGATTTTCTTGTCATTCGTTGGTGGAATGAAGAAATGCCGGGATTTTCATGTGTACCTTGAACCGCGCAATCTCCTCCTCGACATCGTATGCCAGATCTCCGAACCGTGTGCGGTATGAGGTGTCCAAAGTGCGCAGCTTGCGCTCGAAGGTAACCTCGTCCAGGATCTCGCCGACACGGACACCGCGGCGTGCGGCCTTGTCGCTGTAGCAGGGACCGATGCCCTTGCCGGTGGTACCGACCTTGCGGCCACCGAGACCCTTCTCCTCGAGACCGTCGACGACCGAGTGCAGGTCGAAGCAGACGTGTGCGCGGTCAGAGACGAAGATGCGCTGGGCGGCGCCCTTCAGGCCCTTGGCCTCAATAGCAGCGAGTTCCTTGAAGAAACTGGGGACGTGGAAGACGGTGCCGGCACCGATCAGGTTGATACATTTTGGCGAGACGAGACCGGAGGGGAGGATGTGGAAGTCGTAGGTGACGTCCTCGTGGACAATGGTGTGGCCGGCATCTGTATCCAATTGAAAAAGGCCGGTCGGTCAGTCACTGTCTAGCCTGCGGGCTTTTGGAACGGCCCGTTTGAAAACTTCAACACTTCGGGGTAGAGGGATTGCAAAGCGAGTTGAACGTACTGTGTCCGCCGGCTGCACGGCAGCAAAGTGTCGCATCCTGCGACAGCATGTCTGTGATCTTCCCCTTTCCTGTTCGTTCGTTAGCATGTCCAATGTCTCGGTCGGGTCTCGTTCTCGTTACCTTCATCTCCCCATTGACTTCCTAGAACGATTGAAACCATGATTGCACGCTTGACAAAGTCACAAAACTTATGCACGATCAATTGCTTTGGATGGTGGGGTAGGTTCGAAGGCAAAAGAGAATATGTCTGGAGCCGATAGCGGGGCCAAGATCAGGTTTGCCGGTGTGAGTTTTCTGGGCAAATTCGACCAGAAACAATTTGATGCTGGGGTTTTGTAGTCTAACTATACTCCATTGAGCTATTTTTTACAAATTTGATCTCTTTTCCAGTGAGTCAGACCAATTTTCCGTGAACTCCCGCTGTCACAAATCCGGCGGGGTGGCGGGGCTTAGTTGCAGCCTTCATGCCTTGATGCCGTGGTGCCTTAAAATTGTATTAGAGCCTCAGGCAGCAAGGGTTAGGGCAAGGGCTCCAATATATCCCATGCTTGTCGCATTTAAATGCATAAAACTCACCTAGCTTCCATGTGCCCTTTGCATTGAGCCTCTAGTGGGGCTTGCAACTGCTTTAATTATCTAGATGATGCTAAGGCGGCTGGGTTTATGTCTTGGATCTTCTCTACCTAGGTAGTAGGGGTCCTGTGAGGTCGATCGGATGGAGTACTCCAGAAAATGTGGGCAGGAGCAATGCTATATCAACGAACTACCACCATATGGAGGTTAATCTATTAAGGCCTGGTTCTGAGAAGTATTATAGCATAGCGAAAGGTGCATTTTATTATCTATGAACACCCAGAGCACGGGAAGTGTGATTTTTGCGGCGAGCAAGAGCATGATCGCGTCCCACGATGCCTCCGAGACGATCGTCCTTCATCTTCGTGGCGGTTATCACGGTGCTGATGGCTGCGGTGTCTGTGTCTACGACGGTCTTCACCAGCTGAGCTTGTTGATCGCTCCCTGCGCTCGCCGCCTCGCGGCGAGGCCGAGCACGATCGCTTCGGCCGCTGGTCCTTTCAGCTGGACTGTGGGATGATCTCCGTCGATAGATGTCACGGTGAGAGGCCTTCATCGCGTCGTCTTGAGCCCGAATAGTTGTCGTCTTGAGGCGCATCTCGTTGCCGGCGTTCACGGGTCTGATCCTAGGCCCACTGGTCACGACGAAAGAGAACCTGAGTCGCAAACCGCGTGCATAACCCGCTGTCCCGAGTGGAGCTCAACAAGCTGAGCCCCGATAGTCATGCTGGGAATTGAAGTGATGGTATACCTTCCCCCAAGCCCCTTTCCTGCAAAATCCTCTCCCACGCCCAACCAGGGGACCATGAAGGTCATTCTATAAAACCATTTCTTTTCATTGATAAGGCCTGAAGGCACACACCTGCAGTCTCCGATCCCCGAATGCCCGATTTGAAGTAAAGGAACAAGCACTTGCGCATGACATCCACGATGGATAGACGAACATATTTGCCCACGTTGCATGCGAGGGGATCTGGTGTCTATGGACGGTGTTAGTGTGAGCCAAGCAAAGGGATTCCCAAAAGATGGGTAGAAACACTTACACGCAAGGGCTGTCGAAAGCATCGACAGCAGTGTCGATATTGGCTTGTGCCATCAGGAAATTCCTCCCTAGCTGCCTGTCGAGCACCGGAGGGGTTTATTAAGCTTATAGAACCGATTGAGATCCCCCGAGGTCGTTGTGGAAATTGTGACCTGGCCATCAGTTATCCAACGACCCCACCGATCTTTCATCTGAACCTGATAGAATCAAGCGAGATCATAAAGGACCCTTTCGTGACCGTGGTCAGGGTAAAGAGGAGGATTCATTTCTGAGACTTGAGAAATGAATGGAAATGCACTCCGCAAAAGCGATAGAATACAGCCAGTGTCGAGGTCGAGGCATTAGTGTAGGGAATGGGAAAGAAATCCATCAATTGAACTGAGATTCTGAGAAAGAGAGAGAGGTTGGTGGGGGGGGGGGGAGGAAGGAAGATAATCTTGGGAAGGAGCAGAGGTCTTCCGTTTTGGGCAGGCTCAAGAAAGAGACAGTGCCCAGGCGAAAGAGGAAAGAAATGGAATATAAGAGCAATTCGATACATACATATGTAGTTATGAATTGGTTTTGAAATACAAACAACCCTCCTATTAGTACTCAAGTACAAATCCAATCCTACTTGAACAAATCCATGAGAAAACACCGATAATTGATAGAACCCGATGAAAAAGAGTCAGGTATATCTATGCAGATGTGATAAAAAATCCCGGGTATTCACAATAACACCAAGTCATTATGCATCGCAAAAGAGAGAAAGAGATCAAAAAGGCAGGTAGAAGACATCAATAGAAGTGAAAAAAAAAGAAACAAGAACGGAGACGCCAGAAGGCAGGAAACAGGTCAGATCAAATCAGAGCCAAGCCTCTCAATACTAAAGCTGAAGATGCAGCTTCAGCAATGGCTTTCCAATTATAATGAAAAGGCTCATCCGATGATCAAACTCAAGCCACCTTCCCGCCATCACGAATCCACTCTCTCAATCGTCCAAGCTCAAGGATACAGTCCCGATGCAGCTCACAGGCAACTTCCCAATGCTTACGCACCTGGATATCCTCCTCGATACCACGGAGATAAGCACTAAAGCCGCCCTTACTGGTACCAGGGATGAGGAATTCATCAACATGATAATCATCAAGATCCGTACGGGTCTTTGTCGTGCCGTCGTTGCTGTCGTCGTCTGCGCCGTTTATTTTGAGACGGGTAGAGTCTCCAACAGCACTGATCCAGCCCGGCGCGAGGCCGGTTTCGTTCGCTTCTTGGCGCGCATTGAAATGCGTGAGCATGCGGCCATTGAACGCGTTCCATTCGTGCATATACGCGCCCATTGCTGAGACATACCAGTTCCATTTGTCCCGGGGGAGGACGTAATGCTTAGAGGTTGGGGGCAAGAGGACTAGTTTCGGAGCCGATGGTCGTTTGGGTGGGTTTGGTAGTTGGAGTACGCGGGGGCGGATGTCGTCTCTTGTAGTCCTTTGCTGCTTGGCTTGGGATTCGAAGGGAAGAGTAGTGTGGAAGTCTTCCAGGTTCTCGATGCCTCCGCCGGTCGTATTGGAGAATGGTACGGTATTGCGGAGATTATCGAGGTTAAATAGAGGGGTGCGGGCTTCTGTGCCCGAAGGAGGCTTGGGCTTCTTGACCGGAGGTGCATCTGGTACAGCCTGAGAAGCCAAATCGGGATAGCTGCCACTGCTTGGTCTTCCAACTGGGGCCTTCGGCGGAACAGCCGGAGTAGGAAGGTCTTCGTCGAGGTCCATCTCCTCAACATCTGGTGTTGCTGTCCCGGTTGGCCCAAGAGGAGTCTGGCCATTGAGAGTTTCTTTAGCTTCATCTGCTTCAGTAGCAACACTTGCCGGCTGCGGAGCGCTGCGCAATTTGGTGCCTGCTCTGGGCTGTTTCTTTGGACTACGAGGCGGCGCAGCATTTGCAGTTTGTTTCGCTTTCTCGGCCTCTGGTACATTCCACGAGAGATTTCGAAGCTGCGCAGACCACGAATCTGCAGAAAACTTTGCCTGTGCAAATGGCGTTGGTGGTTGCTGTTGCTGTGGTGACTGCGAAGCTTGATACAAAGGAGTAGGGCCGAAAGGATTTGGAATCGGCGATCCAGTCGATGATGCCTGTGTCGGTCCGTTTCGCATGTTTGTACGCCCCCGATTCTGCGAGGCAGGCGATCTTGGAAGTGACTCCTTGCTTGGCGAGGCAGAGCTCAAGAAATCGAACTGGCCCAAATGATCCCGCCAATCATCCGCAGAAAACTTCTTGTGCAAGTCACTTGTGCTGCTACGTCCATACGCGGCAGACTGGGGCCTTTGCGCATTGTTTGCCGGGTCAGTGCTAATACCAGTGTCTGTCAGATGAGGCGAAACAGCTTGATAGTAGGTGTATCGAACATACTTGACAGAAGAGGAAGAACCCGATGGGTTAGGTTGCTGGTCCGATCGATACGAGCTTTTTGGGAAAGCAGCGCTATCCGAGGTGTGTCCTTTGGGACCGTCCATGTCAGCAGGGGTACGTTGATTAAGGGGGGAATCCCGAGAGATCGAATGGAGTTCGTAGCTACCGTCTGGTAGCTCGACGGCTCGAAGCCCATTTGCGAGGAGGAAGGAAGTGAAGTCCATACCATTTCCGGGGCTTGCTGTTCCTGGGTTGTAGAAGTCGGCAAACTTTTGATGCGGCCCAAGTCGACTCTTTGGCACAGCCTTCGGTTTGGGCCTAGTCTCTTCCCCTTCGCTCGAGCTGGTGGAGTCATAGTTATTGGTATTCCGCCTGGGCGAGGGGCTGGCGCTACGGTATCTCCCAGATCGGCCAGAGGCAGGGCTGGTTTTACCTGTATGCGTGTTTTTATGGGAAGAACCTGAGGGGGTACGCATGGTTGCGGAACGTCCTAATCCAGTGCTTGAAAAGAAAGTCCTCTCACCCTTGCCTGCCTGTGCGTAGCTTCTACTGGATCGTTCGAACTCCGGGGTGTATGAATGGCGAGATTTGGGTTGAGGCGGTTCAGGTGATGCTGGTTTCTTCGCGGTTGGGGCCACAGCAGGCTTGAAGTATTGGCTGCTCATCCGTTCAGCCCGACTGTTATTGCTATAGGCAGAGGTGTTGCGGGCCATCGGTTCGTCTCCTCCAGCTACGCCTGGCGCAAAGCCCTGCTTCTTCTTGAAAGACTGTGCGGTGGAATGGGAGTTGTGGGCCTCAAAGGCAGACTTGGGCCGGGTAGACTGCGCAGAAGTTCCAAAGGGATGACGCTGTGCTCCAGGACCTGGGATACCACCAGTGGCACGACCAGTTGAAGGATCGAAGCCCTGCCATCCAGGTGCCTGACCTGCTCTCATATTATTAAAGCCACGGAATGCATCAGCCCTTGTTTGCGCATTGTCCTGTTGTTTGAATTGTTGCGGGCCGGCACGCGCATGAGATGCGTATCGTCGAGCGCCAGCCGACGGCGTATTCGGGGTCGCCTTTGCGTACTGTGAATTTGCGGAGGCCGAGGTTGGCGCAGGGCGAGGAGGATAGGTTGGGGGTTGTGTTTTGCGCTGGGTATTTGCCTTGGGCGGTCCGTAGCACTTGCCATAGCCGGCGCGTAAGCGATCAGTGTCATATTTCAGTCGTTGTGAGGGGTCACTGAGGATCTCATTGGCGGCCTGGATGGCCTGAAATTTGGCGTTGAACTCGACTTCTCGTCCTGGGTTCCTGTCTGGGTGGTACTTGAGTGCTTTCCCTCAAAGTTAGCAATGACCCCAATTCACTTTATGACATAGCTTTTGCAAAGCTAACCTAATTTCCTGAATTGCTTCTTGATGTCCTCAGCCTCCGCGCTGGGCTGAAGCCCAAGGTCCGCATAGTAATCCTTGCGCACGTCTGATTTCACCATGTTGTTCGTGGGTTTCCGGCGAACTTATGCAGTTGTAAGAAGCTCGAATTGCATAATCGGTGTTCAAGTAAATAATCGGCGGTCCCACGCATGTCCAGTCATAGAAGGTCAGCCCAAGAGTAAGGTAAAAAGCAGGTTGCGCGAAGGCAGGGCCTTTGGAACAGGACCAGGCAAGCAGATAAATGCTATGCCCTGCAATCCTAGCAAACTTAAAGTCTCACTCGCCAAATGTTGCAAAATGTTGCAAGACTGGGTTCAGTTCAGTGGGAAAAAAAGAAAGGGCAGAGCCTCCTTGTATGCTCCGCGGTCTCGGTTGGCCGCAGGGTCCACTCCAAAAGCGCTAGTCAAAGCTCTGCTTGGGAGAAACCGTTCGGAATTTGGTCTTGAGGTTTGCGGCGATTGGAGATGGTGTTTTTCAGTGAGACCGTGAGAGTGAAGCGGGGGTAGGCAGAAGTGACTTGAATAGAAAATCGGAGATCGGAGTGGGCACCTGATGTCGAGATCAGGCAGTTGGGTCCAAGCGCAGATCGGAGTGAAGCAGCCAACAGGGCTACAGGGTTCTTTTGTGCGGTGAGTGCCACGATCAATGAGTGGAGAGCATTGCAGGAAATGTGTTGTTGGGTTGGAAAAAAAAAAAGGCGGGAGTGTTTGTTTTGACGCCGTTGCTGCCCGAGGCAATCAACATATCAACGCAAGGCAACTACAACATACTATATACAATTCTTGATGCTCTTGTTAACCCTAGAATTAATTATTTCCTTTCCTTGCAGATATTTGTATATCGGTATATATGTATATAGATGGTATCCAAAAGCAGGAAAAAAGAATAATCACACGCCAAATTATACAACCCTTGCTAGGCCCAGGCCTTTGGGAAAAGGCAACAAGAAAGACGAAGGGCAGGGGGGATGAAAGGAAAGTAAAAGAAGACACCAAACAAAAAGAAATGAACCACCGAGAGAAACAACGCTAGACATCCTAGACATCCCCTCCAGGTGCGCCAGCCCCAGAACCACCAAAGAAATAGCCCTCCAAAAGATCGTAATTGGGATTCTCACTCCAGTCATGCTGGAAGTCCATCGCCATACCAAAGCCAAGATCGATTCCAACATTCTGGCCCAGGTTGGGACCCAATGATGGCACGGCCGTCATATTGTAATCAGGATTGGCTTCGCCTTCCATATTACCCTGGCCTTCAGCATCGCCCGACCCAAAATCCAAGAAGTCAAGACTCATACCTTGCGGAGCCTCGGTGTCGGCAGACGGCAAACCCTGAGTGTGAGTGTTGCTACCGGGAGATCCACTTTGTTGCGGCGAGTTCGAGTAGTAGAACTGCGGGTGCGGTTGTGGGGAGTTTGGATTCTCGTACTTGAGATAGTAATCTATCGACGGATTGGGCTGTCCATAAGACCGGGAAGACTGGTCTGCTGGGAAGTTGGGGGCCACCGATTCTGGTTGAGGGTAGGATGACCCTCCGGGTCTGGTTTCCGGTCGAGAGTGGTCGGCTAAGGGGGTATTTTCGGTGAAGAGATCAGCCAAGTTCATGTCGAACTTGGGGACTGGACGGGACGGGCGTGTCTGCGTCGTTCGCCGGGCTTGCCCTTGGCCTGCGCGGTGTCGTTGGTCCATAGGCTGTCGCGGCCGGCCGGGGTGGAGTGAGCTGCCGGTATTTGATGTGGCATGGACACGGCTGATGTCTACTTGGAATCCGAATCCGGTTGTTGAAAGACACATTTGGACGGTTGCTTTGCTCATGCGCTCGAACGCGTCCCGGCATGCTTCGGCCGGTGGGCATTTGTGCATCAGGTCGCCTAGAACAGAAGTTGCAGCGAGAACAGTGAAGTCGACTTCATCGAGGGTCTAAGAAAAGGGAACGTTAGAATAAGTGCAAACTTAAATTCCAGGGCTGGTGGTACCTACTAGGCGACTTCGAACCAAAGGTGAATGCCAAATGGCATATAAGAAGGAGATTCCTAATAGAATGTGAGCAATAAAGCGATGTAGAAAACGCAAAGAAACAACTGCATACCAGCCATGAAAATGTGATGTGTAGCAAGATAGGTATAATTCACCAAGCGCACTCTATGCAATTGGCGATAGATACGAATGACCTTCTGACCAGCCTCAGCAACATTAAGATAGACATGGTCCTCCTCGTCACCTTCATCGGGATTAGAAAAGGACGGACTAGAAACGTCATCCGCAGGAGTAAGCTCTCCCGCCAATTCAGCAGGAACCGTCAAGCTCTGCTGGTACAGCAAAATGATAGCTTGCCAGTAATTCAACTCAAGCAGCTCAATGGAGAATCTCACGCCGGTTTCCGGCCGTGTCGGGGCAGTATCTTGCCACTCAACTAGTCGGCGATGCACATCATGGCGCCACGAGCGGAACGAGTCAAAGCCCTGAAGGAAAGGGGAGGAAAGCTCAGCGTGAGGGAGAATAACTGCACCAGGGCCTCTCCTCCGCACCGCGCGCGCCTGTTGGTATTGGAGGACATCGTGGATCTCGGATTGAAGAAGTCGCAGTTTAAAATAGTGGAATGCGACATGCTTATATGTCGGGGCCCCGTCCGGTGGTGTCAGGAGACCGGACTTGGTGATGTATTTGTCGTCCATCATGGACGGGAACCCTGTGCTGATGGCCTGATCGCTGATGCCGAATGGCCGCCCAACACACGTGGCTACCAGACGATCAAAACTGTAGACGCACCACCACAACCGGCGTCGGATATCGCGCACCCATTCGCGCCGTCCGCGTTCACGAGCATCGATCCGTGACTGCGCTTGGTTGCCGTCTTTCGTTGCAGAGTCAATGCCCGCTCCATCCTCGTAATGGAGCCCAAGGTCGACGGCTAAGCGCGTGGCTACACCGACGATATACCAGAGACCTGGTGCAACGGGTCGTAATAGGGCAAAGCTGGCTAGAAGAAGCACTGCCTGCAGCTCTTCCAATCCACCAAAGCCCTCGCTGGAGGACGATCCAAGGAACGATTCCAAGTGAACGATTGCCGAGGCATGGTATTCCTCTGGCTGGTACTGATGGCTCGAGAGTCTCGGTCTCTTCGTCCCAGACGAGGACCGGTCACGACTACTGCGATTCTCATCATCCGAACTTTGAGGCTTATCCTCAAAGATGATTCCAGCACCAATAGCAAATACTATATTAAGCACATAAAGGGCGCGCGGAGAACGCTTCTTCTCTTCTAACAAATAAGTCTTATCCAACAGCTCCATGAAATCTCCCCGGTGGAGAATCGGCATCTGAGGATTGGCGTGTTCAAAGTAAAGATCGACCAGCTTTTCAGCTAGCTCCTGGTCAGGGAAAGTCGCGCATTTCATCATCGGCCTTGTCTGCAGCCCGAAGAAGGAATCGCGCATACTACTCCTCCCCCCCAGCAGTGCCAGCCGCACTCTGAGGCAATCGATCGCTCGTTCGAATCGCTGCACGCTCCGGCATATTACCGGGCAGTGAGCTCCTCACCGCAGCGAAGACAACACGCGCAAACGAAATGCCCGATGTCGACCCTAGATATCGTGGATCGGAAGTACCCTGCACAGAAACCATGCCGATATTCGAAACCAGATTATGCAGGCGCCAACTATCCTCGTTAGCGGGGTCGTCGTCCGCATCGCGATTATCCCCCTCTCCTCTCCGCTCCGGTCGATCGCCATCTTCTTTCGAGGTTTTCTTCCACTGTTCTTTCTGCGCCGCAGACCCCTCCCCGGCCTGTCCGTCAGAACCGGAACGAGCTTGCGCGGCGTCGCTATCAGCCTCGAGCTTGATAGCATCCTCCTCGTCAAAGGCGACGACCTTCTTAAATTCAATGTTGTTATCCGCTAATTGTTTTTCGAGATGTGCTACGCGCGACTCCAGGAAATAGACATAGCTGCGGGGGATCTCCCGCTTTGTGATAGGGTCGTATCCGACGCAGCGCACGCCGGCCTTCTCACAGGTCTGGCAGCGCGGGAGACGCTGGTCGCAGCGGTTCTTGCGCAGTCGACAACGGTTACAGGCGGAGACATTGCGGAATGAGGAGGATGCGGACGAGGCGGGGGCGGTGGAATGGGCGGGCGAGGTGGAAGGCACAGCCGTCGGGACGGAGGGTTTGGGCGCGGTATTGGTCACGGGGTCAGTTTGCGTTGGGGGAGTGTCGGAGGGATGTGGTCTCTTCTTGCCTGAAGAGACTGGTGATGGCGGCGAGGGAGGGTTAGGCATTGTGAGAACCGAGAGACGAGAGCCGCAGTGTCGCGATCATCTCTTGGTGGAGTTTTGCGGGGACTGCGGTCGGGAACTGCGATTTAACTCTCCAGACCAGATCAACATGATAAGACCACGAAGTACTTTTGATGTTCGTCTGTGGTAGTGTTTTCTTCGGCAATTGGAGATTATCGTGCCAATCGTGCCAAATCGAATCGAAGAGAGATTGGCCCGAAACGGGGATCTGAGAGCAGCTTGTAAACCACGGAATTAGATTATCCTCCGAGGAAATAATTGCAACACAGGGCCATAGACAAAACCTATGTGAATATGGGGAAGAGAAGAAACCATGTAACTAGTCCACGAGTATTTTGATGAACTCCGAGTTGGGAAATTGAGTTGCCCTCGGGAAGAGATCTCGGGTTCCCCAGACTTTGACATGCCGAGCTATAATGGGACTTTGAGGTGGCTTTGGTGAGACTTTGGCAGGACTTTGTTAGAATATTGAAGATTGAATCTGATATAGCTTCATCTGGGAGCCTTGGTGGACCTCCCCCACACCCCGCTGTCAGATGTACGACATAAGGCATTGGACATGTGGGGATGTGTATAGCAAAGGGAGAACACCGAGAGCAAATTTGTACACAAGCGGCTGCCCATATAATCCTGCCAATGTGAGGGAGTAATTGCTTAATTAACCGGACACCGTCGGGAAACACATATAGTGAAACCACTTGTTTGAAGTCTAGTGCGAGAAGGAATGAAACAGGCTAGGAGACCACAAGACTACGAGATTACAAGACTGGGAGATGATCAACGTTTATAGAGAAGATGACGGCCGTTAATATTGAGCAAGTCTGTAAGATACTCTAACCGACAAAGACACGATCTTCCGAGAGAACTCAGATCAAAAGCGCAAACAACAAGACAATAACCTCCCAGATGCACATGAGTATAGTCATAATATAACCTGTTAATGCTCCAAGATAACATGAAAGAAAAGAAGAGACCCCAAATTTTATGCTTCTGCATATGCAATGCAACCATCTATAATTGCGCCGTTTCCCGGTCTCAAACAAAAGTCATGAGAATGAAATAGCAAAATGAGGTATCATGATGACGGGAAAAGATGAAAAAGAAAAAAAGAAACCAAAAAAAAAGAAAGCCGCGTTGCGCCTCAGCGCTGAAATGAATATGCCTTTCCAGAAGGGTGGAGAGAAAGTAAAAGGTGATGCTGCAAAATAGGCAAGCTTCACAGTTTTAGACATTGGTATCGTGGGTGACATCGCCTTGAGGCTTGAGGAAGTTGTCGACGGCGTTCAAGTTGAGTTGCGAAATGTCGAAGTCATGGTCGACACTAGAGCGCAAGGAAAGCAACCGCTGCTCTTCCTCTGGCAACTCGTCAGAGTCCTGGTCCTGGTTGCCAAAGTCCGAGAGGGCATCACGCTTCATCTCGGACTCGCTGACCTCAGGCTGACGAGTCTTGAAGCGCTCAGGCTCCGGGGATTCCTCCATCCAGAAACTTTGGATGGCGCCGATCAGGCAGACAAGACCGCAGGCCCACCAGGCTAGCACGGAGTATCCACTATCGAGACCCTTGGAGTGGAGAAGACCGGTGATGGTCGGACCAAAGGCCCGGCTGAGACTGGCAGTTGAGGCGGCAACGCCGTTGATAGAGCCCAGCACTTTAGAAGACGGGGCGGCATTGGCCAAGAGGATGGCAGTGGCTGGGAAAGCGATGACATGGAATGTGATCTTGCTGATCAAGGACACATAGACGGCGAGCATTTGGAGCTTGGCCGGAAGAAGGACTAGGTAGGGCACAGCCAAGTAGAGAGGGGGCCATACAAGCAAAACGAAGCGGAAGGTGCGTAGAGTACCAAAGTGCTTGACGACAAATGGGAACAGCCACAGTTGGGCGATCATCGAGTACACGCCTTGCACAGCGAGCATAAACCCAATGGTCTTCGTGGCCATTCCCAAGCCTCCGGTAAACTTGAGGGGTAGCACTACGTCGTCATCGGATCTTGGTGTACTCAGTAAAACCGGCATCAGCTGATCAAAGGAAACACTGTGGCTAAAATAGGGCAATGCATGTCAGTAAATTGTTTAAACGTATCGGGCAGAAGGGTGTGGCGTTGAAGAGAAAGCGGGGGAAGGAGCCAACTCACTATGCAAGAATGCCGTAAGCAACGATGGCCAGTATGACTTGTCGGGTAAAGGCCTTGGGCGCGGGGCTCTTCTGCCCCTCCAAGTCACAATCAGCAGAAGCACCGTCATCGATGGGACGCAGGCAAGGCGATGACTCGGCAGTTTCGTATCCAGGCGGTGCATCAAAGTACTTCTCCTTCACGTCCACGTCGGAATCATCGGGAAGCTGCACGCGTGAGCCCCAGCACAGGTTGACCAACCAGTGGCCGAGTTCAAGACCTGGGTCACGACGGTGCTTCTTCTCCGGGTGCGTCTCCTCCAAAAACAGGAAACCGACCACGATGCCGCAAACCAGCACGGTGATGCAGACGAGGTTGGGCAGCAGAAACGGGAATTTATCCCACAGCGTGCTGCGCGCGAAGAGGGCCGGGTAATTGTCGCAGGGCTGGGCCAAAGCGCCGCCCATAGCCGGTCCAATGATCGATCCCAAACACCACACGAAAGGCATAATCGAATAAGCTCGTGGCTGATGCTCTTTCTTCGTCACGATCTCCGCAACCGTCGTCTGGAGGACCCCGATATTCCCGTTCAACATGCCGCCCAGCGCGCGCGCAATCATCGCCGTGGCCAGGTTGGGCGCAAATCCGAATACCACCATGCTAATGGCCGTGCCCACGAGGCCCATGATGAGAACTGGCTTACGACCAATCCGGTCACTCATGCGGCCCCAGAACATGCCCGCCGAAAATTCAGCAAAGGTGAATGAGGAGGTGATCATGCCGGCGTACAGGGCGATTTGGCGGTCGTTATCCGTCACATGGAATGATTCGACCATGTGATATACGTATGGGAAAATCGACATGAAAGCAATTGGTTCACAGATTCGGACGAGTGCTGCATCCCATTCGTCAGCAATTAAGATCACTCATGGTTTGTATAGATGTGGTTTGCGGCGCATTTTGCGGCTACCATATCTTTTCTTGTTTTTCATAGTTCGCAGAACAAAAGTACGACACTTACCTAACACGAATAGTTGCCGAATTGGGAATGTAGAGAAGTCATCGCCAGAGCCATTGCGGGAGCGTCGGCCCTGTAAACAGGCTGGTCGTTGAAACATTGTGAAGTTGAGAGAGAAAATTGAAGGTCGAAATGAGCTGAAAGCAGACAAAAGGGGATTTCACAGTGGCTTCAAGACACCCCGCTTCCCTTTTAGATTGTATAGCTCAGAAAAAAAAAAGTTAGGAACAAAGTACCAGATAAATGGTGCTTTTGTTTCTCTTAATTTCCCCAGAGTCGTGTGTAAAAGGGAGAGAATGTAATAGTAGTGTAATTGGAGCAAGGAGCAGCGTCTTTTGGTTTTAGGGCTTCAGCATTGCTCCCCCTGCGGTTGGAAATTCTATCAAGATCCGATAAGGTAGGGTGGAAGATTGCGTATGAGACACCTGCAAGGGAGTCCGGAGAGTTTATAGAGAGAAGATTGGCAATGGGGATCGGTTGGGGCTGAAGAGAAAGGATCTATAAACCCAATGTAGTAAGAGTGTAAAAGATGTTAAGAGTAGATAGAAGAAAGTCCAAAGAAAAGAAAAATCATGGGAAAGGGGAAGCTATTATAATAAGAAGTTTTGACAGTGGATAGGTCTATAGAAATGATCAGGCGCCAAAGAACTAAAACGTCAACCGTTCAGCATCACAACTAGACATTTCGGTTACAGCTGTACAGGATGCAGTTGGCAAACATATCAGGATAAAGACGAACGAAGTGGGTCAGATTTTTCTTTATTATTGTAATTTTTCTGTTTTTATTATATTTTTTATTTCAATTTAATAAAAATAAAACCCTTTATTCTATTTTGTGGATCTGAGGTAGAAACCTGACATTTCCGTTAAGAAGAGTAGGGGGAAGCGGAAGAATCCCCCCGGAGGCAAGGAAAGGGGGTGGAACCAATGGGAAGAAATCGGTACATTGATATATTTGATATATTTGATGTATTTGACTTTATTTTATTTGGATTTTCTTGTCCATACTTGGAAGGGAAACCTATTGTCCATCGGTACATCTAAGAGAAAATATGGAAATAAAAGAAATAAAAGAAAAAAGGACATGTTCTGATAGGGATTAACTAATCAGATTGGATTTTGAATTGTAACACTAGCACAGAAATATGATAAATACTTAATTTTTAAAAAGAAAATATAAAAAAAGGAAAGTTTAAGTATCATCTTTGATTCGACAGATCCATCCCCCAGATCAAACAAGAAAAGGGTAAAAAAAAGACTGATACCAAAATGATTTCCTCGAGACCCACGGTCCTGAGCGCCGGGCCTCCGGGGAACGGCATTAGGCCAATTAGTCTCATAGGAGGGGGCGCTAAAGGATACTTCACCCGTATGGCGTAAGGAAAGGAAGATCGATTTTTTTTGTTCCCAGAGCTATGGTTTTAGTGCAAATTAGTGAGATGATAGATCTCGCCTTATAGTTCCGCGGTATCTCTGCGCCTCCCCGAGACCTATATACTAGTATGAACCTACTTCGTTCCGTACATTTGACGTAGACTAAAAAAAAGGTCAGATTGGAGAGTTAATTAAATATTTTAATTTTAATTTTTTTTTCTTCTCCTTTTCCGTCTCTACCACTCTAATGAATGTAACTCCGTACTCCGAAACTAAGACCAAACATCATATCGTCATACTCTCCACTTAATGGAAAGGAAAGCCCAAACAGGTTACCCACTCTTCCCAGATGGCCGGGATGATCAGGAGAAACGTACTTTTCTAATAAGTTGGGAACTTGAGTCGAAACATGTCTAGGTAGGTAAACCATGTTTAGGATATACAACTAGAAACAAGATGCGGTGTACGAACGTACCATCTCAAAGGGAAACTCTAGTAAATATTGAGCGCCATCCCGTCTATTGTCTCATTGTTGAATATCAAAAAAAAAGCCGTTTTCAAGTCACTAGAACCCAAAATTCAAAGTGTTTCTCTTTAATCCCACCATCCCGGTACAGATGGAGCCGATGGAGTTGAACCGGTATAGAAAGAGAAGCTATTGAATCCCTCGGGCATCCGATGATCGTCGTGTCAAGGTAGAATACACACCGTACCAGTAAAGTATATTCTGTAGCTGTATGTTGTAATGTGGATTTATGATTTTTGAGACCTTCGAGAAGACTCCGGAGAATCAGCTGAGCTTGTCAGAAATTCACCGACACTCCCGAGCCCCATCTATTGGCCGTTAGGCGTCGATCGGCGACAGGGGAAAAACAATGCCGCCCCTTCTCCCCCCTTATAGCTATCCTAGAAGATACCAGCCATTGTCGCGAAGTTAAGCGGATAGCTGAACCGTAATCCCGCTTGAATTACTCCGTACATTCTTGTTCTCTGTACTCTGTAATGTGTATGTACCTGACTTTCGATCTCTTAATGCAAATGGAATCTATCCAAAAGTCGGTAAAGTGCCGACCCAACAAGAAGGGACTGCATGAGACCCAAGGGGCTGGGAATAAGTGGGACCATTATTTGTATTCGACACAATACCTACATATGTACTCTGTACTCCGTACATATGTACTTTATATACGGAGTACTCGGTAGGAGAAAAAGAGATGCACTAGTTTTATTCTCGCTGTACGACAGAAAAATTGTCTGGGGCCACGCGAGGGAGTGGGTAAAAAGCCGGTGAGAGAGTCATCTCAAGAGAAAAATAAAAATAAAATAAAAATAAAAACAAAAATAAAGAAAACGTCATAGTTAAGTATGGGTTAGCGGCTTGAGCCTCTCAGGGGTGCGCCTAGTAACTAGGATATGCCAAAGGAGGAAAGTCAAGGAACGGTGAGAGCAAGACATTGTAAACACGACTGGGGCGGCTCCTGCAACCTGCAAAATTCCCCTCGACTTTTTTTAATACAACCAGTCATACAAGATGCCAGATCATGATGTTGCTTTCGGTCCTCGAACAAACAGTAAATAAAAAAAAAAGTCACTCGATTAGAAAGCAGGGTGACCGTGCCCAGCTGACAATGGGCTAATACAAGCTCCTGGGTCTGACAGGGTGTTTGACAAATCCATCTATGCATGAAATACCGATACGTCGATCGCAATGCATGCATTCCTATCGAGGGGAACCATTGGCTACAAGGGAGGTGGGAGCGCTTGAACAATAACAATCGTTGAGATGTCCGATACGCGAGTCGCAACCCAACAGTGAAAGAGCCCGACATGTTTTGACGCGGGTGTAGCGGTGACTGTTGTTCAGGAAACAAAGCCCGTCATCTTTCCATGCCATGTATCACGCGACTATGCACTGCCGTAGCTCCGTCAGCGACAGTCGTGTCTACCTTGATATCCATTCGGACTGTTCGGAAGAAGGATTGCGACCCAACGGCCGGAAATTATAGCTTGCTTTTCTTTTGTTTCATACATATTGCGATTCAAATCGGGACGGAGATCATGTGAGTGAGCTTCCATTTTTCTACCCTGCAGCCAACCGAATCATCCATGTATGGTGGGGAAGAGAGAATCCTTGGTCAGTTATTCTTCCGATTCTCGCCAATTTGGAAAGAGAGGAGGGGAAAACGTAGATGAAGTGACCCTGTATGCATCAACAAGGTCTGATAATAACCGGTGTCAAGCGGTGTGTCTCTTGGCTGCATTCTGTTGATTATCTGCTGCAGAGGATGCTTTGACGTCTCGCCTCAAATTCTCCCTCGGGTACTCGTCCCTGGCATCCCGTGCGTGAGTGACTCGGTAGACTGCAAGCCCTAAATGGGTATTGTTCTCACAGCCCGTCATTTGCGTCTGCACCGCCGGTAAGCTGTCCGACTATGATCGTCGAGGATTTTCGATGGCCTTGGGATTTGGTCCGACACTGCGTATGTAGCCCATATCGATACCCAGACCTCCGCGGTCATTATTGCCCAAAATCAAGAAGCTTCGCAAAAGACGGTGAAGCGAATTACAAGTCAACAATCGCCGTACAGATAGAAGTCATGCTTGACGACGCCGACTTATCCGTGATGATGCCCTCGACAGCGCCCTAGATAGGTTTTGCTAGATCTAACGACATCTTGCCGTGCCCTACTTGGTCACAGCTTGTGGCATGGTACTCCGTATAGTTCGACCCGAACGTACATACTACGATGCCGGTCTTGATCCGTCCTAATTTCCGTGTTTAATTTCACATGAGATCAATTTCTAGCTTTTATCACATTCCTTACGATGCCCTTGATATTTCCTTCATTCCAAAGTGAGCAAGATATTGCATCACGTCGGAATAATACACCTCAACACTTCCCGATCGAGGCCAATAGCAAGGGGGCGGGTTCAGCTTCCACAGCACACTGTTTCTGCCTCGTCTATCGCGCAGCCACGACGCCCAAATTGTACCCTCCCGCCCCCAAAGACCGCCACCGCACCAACTATGACCGAAGGGGCTTGTCGGGCCATAGATCTGGCTACCACAAACCTGTCCTACTTGGCAAGATGCGATGCCCCTAATAATACAGCCGCGTTTCCGGATAGACCAGTCAATTATGAAAATTAATTTTTTGCAGACAACGCTAAGCAATCCCAATCCAGACACAAGGGTCCATGATCCACATAGAACCGCAGCTGCCGCACCACATTGTCGGGTTCTGACAGTCGCAAGATTCCCGAATGGCTGAAGCGTGGCGTCGATTGCCCCTCAACAATCAAAGGACGAAAATAATTCCAGTCGATCGGAAAATGCTTCCTGGCATATAGAAAAGCTCCTTTTGGACCTACCTAAATTCCAAAATGGGCAGAGACCTCGGGCAAAATTGCCCCGGAGACTGGGGTGCTTAGACTTTTTTTTGTGCGGCCTCCTTGTGCCGTGATGGTTGACGGGAAGAAAATTCAGCTGTGTGATGTATCAACTTTTGGGGTCACTCCCGTCGGCCGAATTCCGTCACTCAGAATCTAGATCTTCGATGACATTGAAATCAATGTAAACCAAGGAAAAGGGGCACACCCTACATTGAGGGGCGAAAACAAGGGTTCAAACGAACATACCCCTCTCGATGGTTATACAGAACCTTGGAAGGTGTATACATAAGGTGATGTACATTGCAGATCGCTCTAATTCCATTGTTTTCAGGCCCATTGCAAGTGCGATCCCGCTCGATTCGGATACATACAGGTTTCCACCGCAAATTCCGATCAAAATCAAGCTCCATTTCTTGCTATCTTAATAAAGTGCCACAGGCCGTGCCGTCCTTGCGATGTGTACGAAGTACCGAGTATGTATGCACTTTAGACGGGAACTCGTAGCTTCACTGCAGTTTCCCCGATCGATCGAGACAAGAAAGTTTGAGTTTATTCGCTATGCCGAACATCAATGCAATTCGCTTCCTCTCTTTGCTTCCGATCTAGAACCTTGCGCTAATTGTGCTCACGATCGTTACACGATGTTTTTTTGGCTGTCTCTTTTTGGAGATCGCTGATCGAAATCATATTATCAATGTCGGACTTTTGCTATCCTTGATTCTAGACACTGGTGGGACCTTACTTAGCAGCGCTGGAGAGTGCATACATACAGCGTACTATAGAATACATCGTACGTCCATGGATAGCTGAATCTTCAATCTAATTGTTTGGACTGATCATTGTTCGATAACCAAAGCGCCACATTTACTACAATTACCGATCTAGATTCCATGGCTTTGTATTGAATCCCGGAAGATTGGGGAAGTTTGAAATTCTAAAGGTTCTTTTCCAGACTACTTGGAGCCTGCATGGAGTAAGTGACAGGTGTACTTTTGTAGAATCGGCAAAGGGTATCCGAAGCAAAGTACCCATGCATAATGCATACGATGTACAAATTTTGACAGTCAAGATCGGAACCCAGCCTAGAGACTAGCTGCCTTGCGTATCTTTTTTTACTCCGTAGTTGTGTCCCGAGAAAAGCTGAATTCTGGCGCTGGTCCGGCAGCTGAACGGGATCTCCGCGGACCAATAAAATCTCCAAATCGCCCTCTTTCTCGGGGTCCCCGCCAGACAATCCACGGAACTACGAGTCCAGTTCCACGGCACTAAGTTAAGGATATATGGAGTACATTAGTGTCTCCCGATGTCTCTCCCAAGAGGGGCTAAGATAATGAATTGGTGGTATTATACTATGTACCCATATTACGGTCCGATCTCTTTGTTTTTTTTTTTCTATTTCCGTGGCCAACAGGAACGATCGCCCTCATCCCCACCTGTGGCAAGCGGAAGGCAGGGATCCGGTGCCGCGGTGACGGGTACAAAACAAAAGTTCCGCGAGTGGACACGAATCACATCTCGGCTTTCGCAAGGATTTTCACACTATCGATTCTACTTATGATCATGTGAACATTCCTGTTCCTGTTGAGTCTTCCTCCCGTTTTTCTTTGTTTCCGATGGGGCTTCTTTTTCTGGGTTTTTTTATTGATTTATTTTTGCCCCGCAAGGTGCCGGGGGAGCCGAATTCCGCGGACTTTTGGTCTCTCAGCTGGATCTGTACAATTGTTACGTACTTTGTCGCCTTACTTCATGTACTCTGGACTTTGTGATGTGATTGAGATCAATTCCCCTGCAGCGGTCTAGACACCGAGGAATGTTGATTTCATAACAGTCACGTGTAGTCTTGCCTTTTGTAGTGGTATGAGTCTAGCTGAAACCAATTGAATCTCAGTGATATCATTCAAACAATTTCAAGGTCATTTGCCTGATAATTTATCATTTTCTAATGCTCGCTATGTCCTATATTGTATTTGGGATTGCACTTGGTTAACCTCACACCCTTTTATAACTTAGGAAGCCAACCTACGATAACTAGCAACATATTCTCGTCCTTACCTAAATATTTTACTTGAATCGATACTCCTACCTGAATAAAATCCAGCACCAAAGGCGTTTATTGGATCTAGGCTTCAGGCGATACCTTTTGATATGAACATGTGCGGCCTTTGTCCTTGATGACAAGCTGGGACTTGGATGATATTCAGTTGCCTCAATAGAAATGATATTACTTCGGACAGATCTCATCCAAATAATTGGCCCATACAAACCGCAAAATGGTGTCCAGAGAGCGGTATAACTTATAAGCTCAAGTCTATAAAACAAGTTGTCCGTATATACAAATAACCTATGATATTTACCCCGTACATATTACTGATTAATATGCAGCGTACTAAAAGTCAATTCCATCAAAGATCATCCAATACAATATCAAGCCTCCGTCCCAAAAGGCAGGCTATATGCATGAACACCTACATTCGGAAAGTTTACTAAATTGGGGACGAACTCCTAAAAAGTACCGCCACCTATCATCTCGAAATAGAATTCAGGTACGAAGTACTCCATACAGAGCCCGCATGAGCTTCGAGTGCTGGACCTCCCAGCAAAAGTACAACAGACTTCACACATCTAGTACTTTTGCTTGCCGCCCCGGAGCCAAGATGTGATCGCCTTCCTGGCATGTACGCCCTAGATGTGACAGCGGATCACAGATTCCTGCCTGTGATGGACTTGACATTAGAGCTAGGGCCAACGGACCAATCAACACCGATAATGCCGTCCTGGATGATACATCCACTACACGGGTTACTCTGTATATGTCATTAGTTGATACTGCGAAGGTGTAATTATCCGGTTGCACGGAACTGGCTTCAATTCCAAATTCAAATTCCAAATCATCTCTCACGTAACCTCGGCTGCCTATCGTTGTCGTAGTCTCTATCTACATATGTCGTGATCCGTACTCTATCGTAACTGCTACTTTCGAGTACTACTGTCGTTTACTGACGTTGCGCAAGAAGATATGCAGGTCCATGTATCTCGCCGTCCTACCCGCCTGCTTTTCGCCCATCCGCATGGTTTATTCCGCATGAATAAAGACGTTGTATATTCGGGCATATCAATTGGGGGGTTATAATTATGTCGTTCAATATAGACTAAGGTAACAGGCAACCGGTGGGTGAATACATTGTTAGGGCAGTTTTTTAGAATTTCAGAACCGCCCTGTTTTATATATAATGTTTTGGTCGAATTTGGTTAAGACTAGCAACATTATAGATATAAGAGCGATCCTCTCATTCCGGCCAATCTTCGGCACTGGTTGATATAAAGCTATCAAATAGAATCACCAGACGACTGGAACAATATGAACACATCTGATAGAAACAAAGCTAGGAGTGTCTTGCTGGAGCAACCACCGAATCCGTATAAAACACGCGGTGTAGAGACACAAACACAAGATCAAAGTGTTCAAGTAGTGGTGGCTTCATCTTCCGAGACAAGGACATAATCAGAAGCATCTGTACCTTTGTTGACTCCGCCAGGATTGGACTGCTGCCCCTCGGGTTCTTCCACTTGTGGTTGTTGCGCATATTGTCCAAACAGTAGTGAAAGCTGTTGTGTAATAAGGCCAAGTTGTCGTGAAATTGAGGCTTGCCCTTCAAGCAAGTGTTTTATGAGCTCTTGCTGTGTGTTTATTTGTTGGTCGGCAAGCTCTAGTCGTCTTTCATGCAGGGTGAGCCTGTCTTTAAGAAATGGGTCCTGCATACTGAGCTGCTGTTGCACGCTATTAATATTTTCTTGAAGTATATCCTCCTGTAGTTCGGATTTCTTGAAACTTTCGTCTTGTCTGCGGGCTCTCTCCTTAAAAGCTATGATCCTGTCCTCAATTTCGTATCGTGTTCCAAGATCTCTCTCCAACAGTCCCTTGTCCATGCCAGGCCGCTGTTCCAAGCTGCCTAGGCGTTTCTCGGGCATAGTCAACCCCAGTGCAGTCACGGGCTCCTGGATATTTTTCGCAGTATCTTCAAGCCACTGTTCAATGCCCGGCTTTTGCTCGGTGGTATAGATGCTGCTTGCGACTGTATCACGATTTCTCTTGTATGTGGACATTGAGTTTGGGCTGGCTGTTGCTTTCTGATTGATAGAGATATCACAGAAGAGCAGTCAAGGGAATGGATGAGAAAGGTGAATGATGTTGCTGAGACAAGTCACAACCTTAGAAAGTTCAACTCGATGACCAATACCTGAGTAATGGTCATTCTGGTGATTCATGGATGCATATTGATGGTTCCCAAGGTTCTTCGCCGACTTGTGCTGCTATTTTTGATATTTCCCTTTACGGCTTAGTACCAGTAGTAGTATCGAAGACCGAAAAAGAGACCTCGGGATGTTCAAGATCTCGGCAGACTGAAAAAGCAAACAGCAATACAGTATTAAACCAAACAAAGGTACCACACCGTTTTCCCTCTCCTTTGCTGCATGTCAGCAACTCAGCGACATGGTAGTGAAACCCAAACAAAGAGTCGAGTCGCAATCAGACAAGATTAAAATGAGCTAGTCCACTCAAGTAGAGTCCGTATATGTTCATTGGTCACTTTATCATGGGATCGGGGAGTCACAGCGGCAACGTGCAGATGCAATAAGGGTAGCTGTTGTGACCCTACGGATCAAATGTGGAAACCCAACGGCTCTTCATAATGGTTGATATTTCAATGTAGGGGTTTGATGAGGCGGTGGCAAGCAAACGGTAAGATGCAGAGTTGGGCATTGTCTTGATCAGCTCGTTTGTCCTTGGCGAATCCTTCTGATTATCAAGTCAGGTTTGTGCTGCATGATGTTTACATATTCCATTTTTTAATACGTAAAAATGGAACACGGATTCGATTAGGGAAAAGGAGAGACAAAAATGGACATTAAAAAGGAATATACTATAGGCAAATATTCTGCACTCAGTGGGGATACTATAAATGGCTTATCACCATGTGATCTTATCAGGACCTTGAGAAATCCGCTGAAGTCATAACTCATTCTGTCGACAATTCACTGAAAACCGGTATATCTGCACCCTATGAAGATCCAATCCTGACCGGACTCTTTCAAAAGTTGAAACTGCTGCATTCGCAGAATGAGCGAGAGATAGCCACCAATCACACAACATGGCGCATCCACGAGTCTATTTTTCCCTTCCCGTACGACCATTCCTTCCAAGACGAGCCCGTTGCAGCCGATTATTCCTACAAGACCTTCAAAAGCCATGCATCGCACGGAACCGGTTTCAGAGCACCCATGCCGACCCTGAAACACCACCTCAGCCCGGCAAAAATGCCGTATCGGACGAGGTAACACCAGACCTGTCGCATCTGGACCCTTCTCCGGAGGATTATTCACGGTTTATTTTTCAAGACAAATGCCGGGTCAAAATACATGCTGGATCTGGTGGACACGGTTGTGTCGCCTATCTGCGCGAGAAATACGTTGAAGAGGGACCCCCGAACGGCGGCGACGGTGGTAGCGGAGGCGGTATCTACATCCAGACCGTTGAGGGCTTGACCAGTCTTCACAAGCTGGCCCGCAGAGGCATTGTCAGAGCTAGCAGGGGCCGAAACGGACAGGGTAAAAGTAAGGGTGGAAAACGAGGCGATGACGTCCTCCTTCAGGTACCTGTCGGCACCGTGGTGCGGGAGGTGAGCCGTTATGATCCGGTCGAGGTGGAGTGGGCCCGCATCAAGGCGGCGGAAGAAGCGGCCTATATTGCTAAAGAGGAGAAAAAGGTTTGGCGGGATCCTGATGATCCTGATGATCCTGAAGCTGAAGGGGAAGGATTCGAAGAAACAGAAGAGGCGGAGTTCAACCCTATCCAGCACGAACGCTGGGTGTTACACCCCGCCGCAAAGCCGTCTGATTTCCTTATGGTGCAGTTCCCGAAATCATACCCGCGACGCCAGAATATAGCAGCCATGGAACCCAAGTCGCCGATCTGGCTGGACCTTTCAAAACCCATGGATAAACCCATGCTTTTGGCTGCCGGTGGTATTGGCGGGCTGGGGAATCCGCATTTCTCCACGCGCGTAATGGGACGACCAAAATTCGCAAGCCGAGGTGAAGGTGGAATGATGTTAGAGCTCGACTTTGAGCTTAAGCTCCTTGCAGATGTCGGATTGGTTGGGAAACCGAACGCCGGCAAGAGTACGCTTCTCCGCTCATTGACCAACAGTCGGACCCGCATTGGAAACTGGGAGTTCACGACACTTTCTCCCAGTATTGGTACTGTTATCACCGACGACATGAAGGGTCGTCCTCTTGTTGAGTCGAAGGCCCGTCGCACACACTTTACTATTGCAGACATTCCGGGTCTAGTGGAAGGCGCCCACCTCGACCGAGGACTTGGTCTCGGGTTCCTTCGACACATCGACCGAGCTGGGATTCTGGCCTTCGTGGTTGATCTCAGTCTCGGCGATCCTGTACAGGAACTCCAGAAACTGTGGCGCGAGCTTGGAGAGTACGAGCGAATGCGCGATGCAGACCCTGACTCTACCGAGGAAGACGACATCATTGAATGGAATCCATTCACTGAAAACGCGGATGGTGGTCATCGACGACAGGCACTCGACCGAGAGCCTGCCCCGATATTGAATACCAACCCCGACGGCTCGTTGCCTCCGCTGGTAATGACACCTCTGCATTTGAAGCCATGGTTTGTCGTGGCAACCAAGGCAGACCTGGAAAACACACAAGATCAATTCCGAGCTCTGCAGGAGTACTTATCTGGTGTTCGGAATGGCTCGATTGAACACCCATCAGGTCATGAAAGGGCTTGGAAGGAGAAGGTGTGTGTTGTTCCGGTCAGTGCCAAAAGAGGTGAAGGTGTGTCTCAAATTCCCAAATTGGTGATGGAGCTTCTCGAGTGAAGCATGTATATTAGAAAACTCCCTTGATTCTGAAAAAAGTGTACTATATAATAAACATCAATATACCTTCAATATTCCCCTGCAATCTATAAAACCCTCACATATGTTTGGCTTCAGTTTTACTCTACCTAGGTAACCTATCTCTAATATCTCTAACATATTAGATGCCATTGGGTATAGAAAAACTGGTGTATTGTTTTACCTTCATTTGATTGCCAAAATGGGAGTTTGGGATGTTTTTTTTTTTTGACGCGGTTGGAAGAATTCGAATCCACCATAACACCATACCTTGGAGACACTTTGGGATTACTTTGGGAATACATATGTAGTTTCTGCATCACCTCTTTCTTTGATTTCTTTCATACTTTCCCCTTTACCTTCAGCCTCAGTCATGGCTCTTTCATCAGTCCTTAGTGACGCGTTGTCCGTTATCGCCGAGCCGAGCTTTGACGACCCCATCCTCCAATGCGACAACCTTCACCTTCAAGATCTTCTCTTCAACGACACTGAGAAAGCACTTGAGCTTGCCAACTCAAAACTACACTCCTTTCCATTTAAGGATGTGCACATCTGCTGGCATCGACTCTACACTGACGCGTCTATCATCAAGGCCTGCGTCATAATCATCACGAAATGCGGCCTGATCTCCAAAGCCAGATTTGAAACCCAGCACCTAGTTGTCTCACAACTCATTCAAGACATAAAGAATGCAGCAACTGAGCCGAAGCTCTCTGCCGACGCGCCATGGCTATCAGATATCGTGGCAATCCTTGATAATGTCTTGATCATGTCTGGAGCCCCCCTCCGCGAGAGGCTGGTCGAATCCTTGTTGTCCACGCTGCAGGCAGCTACAGAATCCACGAAATTCGAATGCGACGACACTGGTAGTCCGGATATCCTCCTACTGCGAAGCGCAGAAAATTCTCGCCTCCTCTCTTCCCTCCAAATGCGATCCGTGAACCCGATCTGGAACGTCCGGTCCCGCGTTTATCGGCACCGTCGTTCGATTCCATCGAACACCACATTCAAAACATCCGCACCCCACTGGTGATCAAAGATGCAATGGAACACTGGCCAGCCACTTCGACGCGTCCATGGTCTTCGCGGAACTACTGGTGGGACCGCACGTTTGGGGGTCGCAGATTGGTCCCCATTGAGGTGGGAAGGTCGTATACCGACGAGGATTGGGGACAGAAGATCATGCCGTTCAAAGAGTTTGTAGACAAGTACATATGGCAAGGGAAACTGGCCCTGACTGAGGCGCCTGAAAAACAGCCCCAGGTCACCAATCTCGATGGAGAGACAGCATACATGGCACAACACGATCTACTTACTCAAATACCCGCCTTGCGTAACGACATCAGTGTGCCGGACTACTGCTATATCACTCCACCCGGGCCAGAACCGGGAACACCAGTGTATGAGAAGAAAAAGCGAGAGCGCGAGGCGAAAGTCCAAGCACAGGTCTCTGAAACCTCGCATGGGCCCCAGTTGGACACAGCACCAAATGAACATGACATAGCCGATCACCACTCAGAAGCAGGCTCGCTTATGGGAATCCCCAGCGACCCGATCATCAACACCTGGATCGGACCGGCGTGGACGATCTCCCCTCTCCACCACGACCCCCACCACAATATCCTCGCGCAGGTTGTGGGCACCAAGTACGTCCGGCTGTACTCGCCACATACGCCCGGCTCTCAGATCTACCCACGGGGCCAAGAATGGGTCACATCTATTGATGAGACCGCAGAGCCAGATCCTGTATCCGGGGCTCTGCCAACGACTCGCAGACTAGTCGACATGTCCAACACTTCCAAGGTGGACCTGGCTGCTATCGAGACTTCTCCTGCTGAGTACGAGCAATGGGAAGAGATGTGGCCTGGATTCATGGACGCCGATTATGTGGAGACTGTTCTCAAGGAAGGCGAGTGTCTCTATATTCCTGTTGGGTGGTGGCACTATGTGCGTGGATTGAGGGCTGGGATCAGTGTGAATTTTTGGTGGGGATGAGAGAACAGCTCTATGAAAGACTCACGATGATATGATGTCTCGGAATGAGATAGATGTGCTGCTGCTTTGCAAATGTGTCAGATGACATGCCATTATGAACCTGACACAATTACACTGAAAGGTATTCTACTTAGTATTTGCAATACCTCAATTATTATACACAAGAATAGTAGTCCGGCCTCTGTCCTTCACGACATAGGACTTTAATAATCCCATGTATTTCACGCAAGATGATATTAGGGACGTTATATGTAAGAACATACCGGTGTGTTTTAGATGTTCTTTTTAGGTGTTCTTTTTAGGTGTTCTTTTTAGGTGTTCTTTTTAGGTGTTCTTTTTAGGTGTTCTTTTTAGGTGTTCTTTTTAGGTGTTCTTTTTAGGTGTTCTTTTTAGGTGTTCTTTTTAGGTGTTCTTTTTAGGTGTTCTTTTTAGGTGTTCTTTTTAGGTGTTCTTTTTAGGTGTTCTTTTTAGGTGTTCTTTTTAGATGTATACGAAGGCGATAAAAAGAATAAACCGTACAGAGGCCTTTTCAATGTATATGTAACTAGGGACGTAAAAGTGTCTACATAGGGATCCCCATCTACGAGGCCAATGACTATATCTAACTCCACCCTTCCACCAGCTCGCAAAGCGTCTCCTCTCCACCCACATTTCCAGGGAAGACAACAAAAGGCACACTGCGATGGCGACTAGTCTCCTCATCGCACCGCCAAAGAGGCACACCGGGCGCCGCCTGGCCAACGATAGTAGCACGCTTTATATTCAAGCCCTTAGTCGCAGCATCCGAGGATGTGATCCCGCCCTAAGAAAGTCAGCAACAATACACCCATCCACAGGCAAAACCAAGAGACCAGAACACAGGATATCATACCTTAGCAATAATAAACCGCGGCTGCACCTCAATCTGCCGCAGAACACCAACCAACGCCTCAGCAACCACAGACCCAATCTTCAGCGACGACAACTCATCGTCACCAGTCACAAGCGCTCGACTCGTCATAACAAGCGTATCCATCCCAGCCCGCAGATGCGATTCCGTCTCCTGCACAACGCGCAGCACAGCCTGCGCCGCGCTCTCCGGCGACGCAATAAGCTCCTCGACCTTCATTTCAATGATCGCCAACTGACCCGATGCGCCGCGCCGATCCGTTAACACTTTCAGCTGCGCTGTGGTTTTAGGAACATACGACCCGGCAATGATAAGCCCGCCCGTCTGGCGCGGTGAGGGCAGGTGAAGCTCAGTAGCGGAGATGGGTGCTTTAGAACGGATACCCAGTCTAGTTGAGACGAAGGCCGCGCCTGTGCGGTACAGGAAGTGTTTTCCCTTAGATTCGGCTGGGTATGTTAGCCATCAGATCTACATACTCAAAACGGAATACATACCAAGTAGCAATCCCGCTACGAAGACGTGCATGTCAGACTCCGCGGCTGAATTGACGATCACCACCCCACCAACCGGTGCAGCAAGCAGTTTCTCGCAGACGGCCTGCGGCCCGCCGGTACGGATCTCCTCGATTGTCACAGAGCATAATTGGTCTGCGTTGAACCGACCGGGCGCCTTTTCGAGCACGTAATCCCGCAGATTGGAACTCTTGTATCCGAACGTTGCGTCCTTGGCGAACTGTGTTGCGCCCGCTGGGACGAGGCTGTCGCCTTCGGTGACATAGTGCACATCATCAATGGTAAGCCTCCCACCCTGGAAGAAGAACGGGGCAAGAACAAGTGCGTCTGCAGGGCCAAAGACCGATTGCGCGACGTCCGTTTCGAGGGGGAAGTGGCCGCGTAATGTGCTATCGCCGCGGAGGACGATGTCGACCTTTTGGTTTGTCGTTTTGGCGGCTTGGGCAATGTTTGTGCAGATCTCGTAGATCAGTATTTCTGCTTCCTTTGGTGGGAGGGCACGCGAGTTTGTGAGGATGAAGAAACCTGGCTTTGTGGATTGGAATTCGGCTGTTAGTGTTGGGATGTCCCAGACTGTTAGGACGGATATGTCGTGGCAGGTTTGTGTGCCGGTTGGGTCGTCATCTAGCACCACTAGCCGGTTGATTGGGGCTGTTGTGAGGATTTGGGTGATTTGCTCTTGCGCGCCGGTGGGATACTCCGCGGGGAGGTTGGCGAGGGTGCTCTCGCCGGGGAGGACGGGGTACTCGGGCTGTGACATGGTGATGAATTAGGTTGTTTTCCTATTCTTGTACAATTTGTTAATTTAGTCTGGGTTCCGGGGTTGTATTTAAAGCCGGTCAAGTCCTTAAGATCAACAAGCGGGGATATGCGGGGAGCTCTCGGAGAGAAGGCCGAAAATGCATAGATTCGATGCAACTATGGACTAGATAGAATCAGACATATTTTCCTCACAGGAACAAGAAACACCATAAACGCCATTGGAGACAGATGCAAGAATGAAAGGCGTTTGAATGCTTGCAAGCATAGAAAGGCATGCAACGGTCATTATGCATGTAGCCGATTTCAGAGTCCAGTATCCCCTCCCATATATCCCTCCCATCCCATGCATCGAAGAAAGTAAACAAAGATGACAGGTCGTAGACTGCGTGATTGTTCGTAGAGGGGATTTAGCCCACCACACTGCGGAAACTCAATGCTTCGAGGAAGCCGCCAAGGTCATCCTTTTGGACCTCGACAACACAATGCTCGAAGCTGTCGATGCGCACACGGGCATTCGTCTCCTGGACAACTTCCTGGAAAGCAATACCAAACCGGTTGCGGAGAAGATGCTTCTTTCCACGCGGATCTTCCTCGTCCTCAGACTCGGATTCCGATGAAGACTCAGACTCTTCCGAATCTTCGTCTTCGGCGCCAGTCTCCTCTTCTCGCTCGGCACGCTCTGCTGCCCGCTTGGACCGGCGCTCTGATCGCTCTTTCTGTTTTTTCTCCTTATCTTCTTTCTTCTTCTTGCGCTCCTCCTGGCGCTTGGACATGGCAGCGAAGTCAACAACACCGCCGCCGCCACCAGTGCCGACGACTACATAGAGATCGCGGTCTTCATCGAGGCCCGCAAGGACGAGAGGAGTTCCTGCTGCTCTCTTGCGACCAATCTTGACTGAATCACCCCGCTCTTTCTCTTGGACTCGAATGGCCTCGGCGATCCACAAGGCCAATTTCGTTAAGGCCCCAGGGTTGGTGAAGAGTTTGACGTCGGGTCCATCCTTGACCACAGCAATGCGGAATGCTCTAAGGTGACGGATTTGATGTTTAGAGAGCAAGGATGTACCGGTGCGAAGGATAGCACGGTGTAGATGCTGGGCGAGGGGCAGAGCCTCTAGGAGAATCGTGGGTGATTCGGACGTTAATGAAAGGGCATCATACGCACTCCAGAACCGAGGTAGCAGACTAGCCAAGTCAGATTCGCCTGTGATTCCACTGTCCTCTGTATCATCGCGTGCTCGTGGCAGACGTTTGGCGTCCCAAGAAGCCAGAGTCTCGTGTGGCCCAACTTCCAGCATTGCACCAACAATAACACCCACGTCTGTGGCAGAGAGGCACGCCTTCCAACCCCAGCAACGCACGAATCCCCAGCCCTCACGGGCACTCGCACTCCCAGATCCCTCTGATGGCACGAGTCCGTCTAGACCATACATAGGGGCATACTTGAGCAGCCGTGATCGTAGTACACGCTTCAATTCCATGTCCATGTGGGTATAATATTGGTGACACTGGGTCAGACTAATTCCCATCTTGGCCAGGAGTTTGTGCAGTCGTTTGCGGCCATTCTCAGTCCAGACATGGAGCCTTGGTGCAAGGTAGGGGCTGTGGAGCATACTCTCGTATAGTGACCAGTGCCGGACAAGAAGAAATCGCGGTTCGGGAGAAAGGCGAATCGACGTATCGGTGGGTGACCTAGCGGTTGTTGGAATGACACCGTTGATTTCTCCTCGAATGTCACGATTTGATTCTAGAGGATCAGGTGGGTTCAAACGATGCACTTCATCGCGAAGTATTTGACGGATGTGTTCACCACGTTGGCCACCCCAGCCTGCTGAGCCTCCTGATTCTGATGTGTTTGAAATACCCACTCCAGTCATTGTCCGACCACTGAGTTCCAGACTGGAGACACCGACAATAGCAAGCCACAACAGGTCGTTGTCATCTCGTCCAAGCTCAGACGCCAGAGAATAGATCAGGGATGAAATTGGTTCGGAGTATGAGGTTCCAGACGAATAGTATGATTGTAGAACGGAGTCGTGTCTTCGCTTGAGATTAATTAAACGTTTCTTTAATGACCGCGCTGAGGTTTGATTTGTCTCGGCTGGGGATGGCGAGTCAGTTGTCGGTGTTACAGATCGCGACGAGTTCGAAGAATTGATTCCAGTCTTTTTGCGGCGCGTGGGAGACGAGGCAATAGAGGAGCCCTACATCACGCGTTAGTCCATTGTCGGGCCATAGAAATATTGAAACCTACTGAATTGCTTCTCCTCCGTTGGTGGGGCGGCTCATCGCCTTCTGAATCCTCATCGTCTTCGCGACCTGACCAGGATTTGCGCTTTTTTGACCCTGTTTGCGTTTCGTCTTCAGACCCGTCGTCACTCGCGTCATCATCGTCATCGTCTACCTCTGGCATTTCCAGTAACGCGTAGTATGCCTCTCGTTCGTTGCGAAGCTCTTCCTCGATGTCTCCGTCGTCATACACGATGATTCCGCCATTCTTCGACGTGTAAGCTGAAGTAATGCACCCCTTGTCAACCCCGCGTCCTCGCCGTCGCGCATTGGCATCGATTTCAGCCATTGGCTGGCCCATCCCGGCTTGTCCACCAAAGACATTCCCCAGGTTCCACGGCCGTCGCGCGTCGAATACCCAGATCTCCACGCCTCCCATATCTTCCGCCTCGTCCTCTGGATTGCTCAACGCTAGTATCTCGCCCAAATCAACCAGACCACCTACACCAAGGCAGACGACAACTCCTCCGCTGCCGCCATTGGTGGTCTGCATTGGACGGACCAGCTCCTCCCCCGCACGCGACAGGTCGCCATATCCTGCAACTGGTTGGATTTTATGAGGGATATAGTCGCGTTTTAACAAAGATGTGAGAATTCGACAGGCACATAGCGCGTCTGGCTCTAATGCCACGAGAATCAAGACGGGTGGAGAAAGTGGGTGGTGAGATCGTAGGAGTTGTAGGTAGAGGTGTGAGATGAGCTGCCGAGGGAGATACATGGCCAGCTTGGGATTGTCATATGCTCATGCGACAGCTCATGAAGAAAGAGAACTCGTAAGAATAAACCCAGAAAATGTGAGTTGGTTATTTGGTGTGAAGCCCTTGCAGCAAAGACTCTCTCATAGCGCCGGGGAAGTGGACAAGCGCGACGCGTCGGAGGCACGTGCCAGGATTGCATACCTCTTCATCACCTCGACGATATTTGCTCCCCTTCTTTTATTACTTGGAATATTTCACTCTTTGAATGTCTTACTCCTTAACTCCTTGAATTAAAGCCGGGTATAGATCTTCAAAAACATGGGTTGGTTCATCTTGTTGCGCAATGCAACTTGGGTGCTTTACGCGAAATCTTCCATCTATACTCTAAATTGATGCTTACCACGCGCAAATCCTTTGTTCGAATCATTTTTCTACCGACCATGCAGTCTGTTGCAAAGCAAGTCAAGTTCTTTCATAGTCTCAGCTGGCAAAGGCCCTTTGGCGATATCCTTGATATGCTGAGCGAGCTCGGGTCCCGAGCTCGCTTCCAGAATCACACCATCACCTTTCTGCAACTTCGAATGGTAGTAGATCCACCGCAGACTGGCTTCAGATTCTGAAATTTGGAGTTTTCCAATGGTCGCTCTGAAGTCCGCAATACCAGCCTGCATCTTTGGGTTGTCGTACGTGCTAGTATTCCGAGATGTGTTCAAGGTTCCCAGAGAGTTCGAAGTAGGATCAAAATGAATATGAGATGGATGCTAGGATAGAAAGCTAACTTGCTATGGAATAAACTATCAGACAGATGGGTTCTTTATTGTCTCGGGATACTTATAACCCTGTGGATATGAGAGATGACGGTTGACAACTCATGGGAAGTAAGCAGCTGGCTATCTATAAGCCAGAGAGGACTACCTCTGTGGGTACATATGTAGGTAACAAAGAATGAAGCTGTGTAGTATCTATTAGAGCAAACCTGCTATGTGTTTCTGCATTGGCATGATGCTCAACAACCTTTGAAGTCAGCATCTGAAAGCAATTATGCTGATACGCAGCGCTGCAATCGGATTCAAACAACATCCCTGCCCGAAGTGGACTTATATAGAAAAAATTACAACATCTTGGTTGCATCTTTAGTAAGATGATTACTTTGGTTACACGTATCAAAAGCATAGTTTTTTCCCTTGAAGTGTTTCAGCACAGGATATCTTTCAAATTCAATAATCACAGAGGTAACGCCTTTCGCCATGAACATGCTATATTCTCCAAAACAATTCCAACGAGGACGTTATGACCATGGATCTATGAGACCAGGAAAGAACTCGAGATTGCAGCCAAAGGAAAGAAAGCCTGGTGCTTTGTTGCATAATATTAAACAGATGAGCGGCCCAAAATCGATCCAGCCACCCAGATAGCGGTGCATGCGCCAACGACGGAGACGCCAACTAGCCGCTTGCCCCAGCTGCTGTCTTCCGCCATTTTGGTCGGCCCAACAGTGCTCTTCAGCTTCAAATGCAAAGATGATGAATGCAGGTCTTCGGTGACATTTCCAGCGGAATCACCTAGTATGGCTGAATATTCCTCGTCACGCTTTTGCCACTTCTCCACAAGGCGTGCAATCTCAGCCAAGTCTTCCTTGAGAGAGCCAGGCTCAGTGGCGTTGGCATTCTCGACTTCCACATTCTGGACATTGCCGAAGAAATCGACCACAGTCCGCAGGCGGCCTTCTTGCTCGCCTCCAGGAAACAAATCCCACCGGACACCCGGCTGAGAGTGGATCTTTGACTCATCATACGAATCGAACAGGTCTCCCAGGTTGAGTTTAGATGTGACACTTGTCACTTGTGTCTCGAGGAATTCAAGAACATAGTATGTCCAGCGATCAATAACAGCGACGCCGACGTCGTTGTCCGCATGGTGGGAATAGGACGACTGGTCAATCTCGCTGGAGCCTGTCGCCACGATGTTAGGCGAGTAGAAATGGGTGTACATCGTATTGGCTTGGCAAGTGTCGATCATGAACAGCAGCTCATGGTAGCGCTTCTTCTCCCACATCTGTCCAAACGCGTCCGCAAGATCCCACGCGCCGATCTCTTCGGCATCCTGGAACTTTAGGAATTGGTCGCCTCCATGTCCGGTCATGTATACTAGCACATTGCTGCCAGCGTCGGATCCCAGGCGCTTGCTGCGCGGCACGTCTTCGTCGAGGCGGTCGGTCAAGAGTCGGATGAAGTTCTCCACGGTCACTTCGTACCCCCTGTAGTCCACTTCAATGTTATCACCATATAGATCGACGGCGCGGTCTGCGTTACTGTAAACGGTGCCGGGGAAAGCGTTTCGGGGGTTGCAAGCCATGTCATCGGGGAGCATGAGGATAATCTGTGAATCGGGAATGCCGAGTCGTTTCACGGTTCGATATAGTGAGAGGACATTGGCAAGGTGGCGGTAGTTGAACCAGAAGCGAGAGGTAGATACGAGCACCGCCCAGTTAGAGGTGTGTTCAGCGGCAACTGCGCTGGCAAGGAGCAGCAGGGCGAACGCCTGTAGAAAGCGGAAGAGCAAAGCCATTGTGACGGACGATCAGGTCATAGTAGGGAGGAGGAACACTGCTTGTATCACTGGCCGGTAAATGGGAAATCGGCAGCAACAAAGCATAAATCAAATCAAAGGCTACAAATATTAATCACAAGAACCATATCAAGGCCATAGCACAAATGGCCGGAAGAAGACACACACCTTCAAGAAGCTGCCCAGGTGAGATAGGAGATTACAAATGCTGGGGAACCTTCCAAAGTTGCCAGATTCTTAAGGCATCAACATTGACGCACGGGCTGTGGATAGCGTCACCGCCTTCATCGGAGTCGGCATATTGGTCCCGCAGATCAGATCATGTACGGAGTAGTAGAAACTCGATTCCACCTTTTTCTTTTCACATCCATTCCTCACATTCTGTCCAGCGTTTAGTTTGGACATCATATTTCACCATGGGAGGCAAGAAAGCAGCAGGCGAGAACACCAAGAAGGTCGCTGGAAACGCTCGTGTATGTTTTTTTTTGAACCCCGCCCCCGCTATTATTGCCACATCCCTCAAGCATAAGATTATTTGGATAAAAGCTGACAGTGCCGCACAGAAAGCTGACGCCGCAGCATCAAAGAAGGCCGCTGAGGACCAGAAGAAGGCTGCCGATGAGGAAAAGCAATGGTCGAAGGGATCCAAGAGCAGTGCTAAGAAGTATGCAAACTCAATCTCCCAAAGATAACATGTCCTCGAGCACCGAGCTAATCACCTTCAATCTACAGGGAAGATTCCGAATCCAAGAAAGCCGAGGCTGCCCGCAAGAAGGCAGAGCGCGATGCTCTACTCGCCGAGGAAGAGGCCTCTCAACCAGCCAAAGCCAAAGGCGCGAACGCCAAGTCCGCACAAAAGAAGACTCGCGGCCTCGATCTTGCACAGTTGGACGATGCTCCTGCAGGCAGCAAGAAGGAATCTTCTCTCAGCGCCACTGGTATCGATAACGCACTAGATGCCCTGTCGTTGGCCTCGAAGGACACATCCAAGATCGACCGACACCCCGAGCGCCGATTCAAGGCCGCATATGCCGCATTTGAAGAGAGGCGCTTGCCAGAGATTGAGCAGGAGAACCCCGGCCTGCGCCGGAACCAGCGTATGGATCTCTGCCGGAAAGAATTCGAGAAGAGCGAGGAGAACCCATTCAACCAGGTGCATGCGGCTGTCAATGCTACCAAGGAAGAGGTTGCTGCGCTTCGGGATAGCGAGCGCAAGAAGGTCGAGGGCAGACTGGGCGGCAAATAGATTGGTCTGTCGCTGGATCACAAGCATTCAGGCGCATGGATTATTGGAAGTTGTGGACAATATGTCGATATTGTCGCATTGACCGTGGGTCCTAAGTCTCCATGCTCTCAAATACCCAACATGGATGGTGTTCTCAAGATGGTGAGCCTCTTATCTTGATTCGGAATCATTTTTGCACGGTTCGGGAATACCAGCCGTTTTCGAGTCATTGAGGTGCTGCAGAGTTCAAACAAAAGGCTTAATCAAGCGTTAAGCCTGGGGAATAGACAACTGTGACGCAGTTGTTCTTACATCACACCATGCATTGTCTCTTAGCCTCTGACATATAAACTTACGAAATAAAATGATCAATATCCCTTTTAAGTTATACAACTGTTCCGACAGCAGGCTGCCTGGCAACCCGATATCTTAAACAAACATCTCTAGTAAACTCCTATATAGCATATCTCCATTGCGCCTGGAAAAAAAATGACAAGCCTCTGGACCCTGCCAGAGCCGTATATAATTCGTTGATATTCACATATCCTATGACATCGTAGCTCGCACATCCCACACATATAGACTCTCATCCCAGCCAACACTAGCACACCAGCCCTCACTTCCGAACAGACACCAATCCACGCCCGTCACAAACTCGGTATGTCTACCCATGCGCCCTAGTTCCGCGCCAACCACTGGACCAGCGCGCATCATATCCATATCCCCACCCGGGCCCGCGTCTGACCGGTCACTCCACACTCGACAAGTCATATCGTAGCTAGCACTCAAAAGAACATTAGAAAGATGCGGCGACCAAGCCACTTTCCGCACAGCATATTCATGTCCGAGCATAGTGGTCAGCGGCCCTTGTTGCGGGGCCCGGATATCAAATGTACGGATAGCACGGTCAACACCCGCCGTAGCTAGAACAGTGGGACGGTACTTGTTCCAATCGTGGGTTAGGGCCTCAGCGGGCGGGGCAGGGCCGCCCGGCTGGCCGGGGATTGCAGGCGCGGGTGGTCCGGCGTGGATGGGGATCTGGGTGACAAGGTGGTTGGAGGCGGAGGCTGGGGTCCGGAGATCGAAAACGCGCACGTATGAGTCTGACGTCACGCATGAGATGATGTCTGGACTGTGCGGACAGAATGATGCGGAGTAGGTGCAGCTGTGGGTTGGGAGGGTGAGGAGAGACTGTGGGCGATGCGGCGACCAGATGCGGACTGTGCCGTCCCAACTACTTGAGCAGAAGCGGTCTTTTGCGACGGGGTTCCAGCTTACGCTGAATACTTCCCGCGCGTGCTCTTTCCAGTTTGAGATTGGGAATTCGTTCGCTGTGCAGTCGAATAGCTTGATGCTGCCGTCGCCTGATGCGGCGAGGACTTGGTTCTCGTGGAGTTCGGACCATGCGAGATCATATAGTGAATCTTGTGTCGTAAACCTGGAGGTTGTGATAGCGCCGAATGGTTAGAATTATGTTCTTACTCCCGACTGTGTCGCACACTCCGCCGCGGGGTCTGCATCCCACTTACCATTTTAGCGGTTGGATTCCATTCGCAGTCAACTCCAGAATATGCAGGCGGCCATTGCCAACTAGGCCAAAGTTTGAAGAGCTTGCAACAGCTAGTCGATTGTCAAAGAATGGGGAGTATTTGACAGCGCAACCGTTATATCCTTGTGTGCGGTAATGGAGCATGATGAGCAACTGATCGGCGCCGGTCGCTCAAGGAGGGAGGTAGGAAAGAGAAAGAGAAAAGGTAAATGAGATCTTCAAGCAAGCTAGGGTATCAAAACGACAAATGTCAACGTTCACGAAGATGTTAAGTTCGGATTCGCGTATGATCTCGGGATTGCGGGGATCAAATGGGCCGAGGTCCTTCCTTGGCTTTCAGGCACGGCCTTTTTCTATACTATCACATTCGCTTTTTGTTGATTTTTTGTCTATATCTGCATTTAAATATTGAAATCACCTCGATTTAATTGATTCCTGGTGATTCTCTCTTCCTGGTGTTCTTATTTCAAGCATTTTTCATGTTTTCTGTGGTCAAGTCACCAGCATGTCCATCAACACATCGATCAGCACATTGTTGGTTTATAATAACATATTTTCTCCAGACTCTGTTTCTCAATATTGCTGTTCAGATTCAGGGCAAATAAAGTAAAGCTGCTCTGCAATTGGTTGATGAACGGCTGACGTGAAGCATGCCGTGGGATCGTTGACGTCAATGGGGCTATATCTACAGCTGCATCCCGCCCTAATTGCAACAGTAATAAGGAACCACTCAAGACCCTCAATTTTCCATTTGGTAGAACATACTTAAGCCAATCATGTTAAATAGGTACAAGTTGAGCCACCTCAGAATATTTTGCCTCAGCCTCTGCAAAGTATGGGAATGACGCCATGATTGGCCTCTTCTGAGAACTGCTTCTTAGTCTGCTCGACTCAATTCTGATTGAATTTACACTCTTCTTAACATACAAGTCAACCACTATGATAAGCTCAAGACATAATAATATCCAAATCGCACCCACACTAGGAGGCGACAACCCAATGCCAGTATCGTCCCCGGCCAGTGTATTCCTCAAGGAAGAAGTATACCGACTCGGAGCATTACCAGGCCTGAGATCCCTGCCTCCAGGCCCAGAGCGCGACTTTCTCACCCTATCATGGGGACCTATCGTCTACCGCACCTCGTACGCCCCCGAAACCAAACGTCTCCTCTCCGTATTCATGCGCTACCTCAACGATTCCGTGAGCCGGGCGTTGCGCCGGACGTTGCCAGGCTCCGACGATGAAATCCAAATCCTCAAAAACACATATTCTGCCAAGATTTTCAACTCGCTTGATATGTACGCCAATATGGACGTGGAAACGGTCCGGCAAGTATTTCATGATTTCAAGGTGTCGCTTGGGATACCTGAAACAGAGCTCCCGAGCAGACTGCGCATATGCTTGATGCTAGACGATGAAGCCTTATCGCACTTGAAACAGGTTTTAGATCTTTCCTCGATGGTTGAGAGGGATGCAAATGTGGGTGGATGCTGGGTGAAGGTTGTTGAGGAGAATTTCCCAGACTCGAGGATCGGTGACCATCCGCTTGCGAACCCCGATATGGAATATGTATCTTATACTGTTAGAGAACATCGTGGGAGTTATCATGGGTGGACGATGGTGGCACTCGATGCATTAGTGGAGGTCTTTGATGGGCTTCGGCAAATGAAATGCTTGGTTGAGTATCATCGTGAGGGACAGGTATACTTGGGAGAGGGCAAATGGAGCCTTTAGTTGTCTATATTGGAGTCTATTAAGATGACCTTTTGAATCATTTCTCATATCTTTTCACATATATCAGAATAGTTGGCCTCCATTCTAGACCACGTAGTTCAACAATCTGATCCACCTGCATTGGGATTAGATTCTATAAGGGATGTTTTCTTTTTGAATGTCTTTTTGAATGTCTTTTTGAATGTCTTTTTGAATGTCTTTTTGAATGTCTTTTTGAATGTCTTTTTGAATGTCTTTTTGAATGCCTTTTTGGATGCCTTTTTGGATGTCTTCTTGATATTCTTTCGAATCTTCTAGTTCGAGAGAAACATGAATCATCTGTCATAAGAGGAAAAGAGCAATGGCCTATTTACATATGGGCTCGTCTTAGCTTCACCCGAAGGTTACTAGTCACTAGCACTGCGAAGAAGTGCGAGCCCTACGCTGTTGGCCCCACCACCCCACCTATCAAGGTGAGCCGCCTCGAAAGATGAAGGGCTCCTACGCATTGCTCCCAGGTGGAACCTGCGTTTTCTTTTCTTTGCTTTATGCTTCTTCGTTTCCTCTTCATGACGAGCAAGAGTTAGGCTCCAACCCTGTCTGCATGCGGTCCTCTGGCCTTTTGATAAAGGAACTTTCTCATCGCCGTCAAGACGGGAGTAGCCCTGGTGAGACAGCCTGCTAAGCAGCTTCCAACACTCCATCTTGAATTTCAGGATTGTGGATTTCGAAAAGTTTGGGTTCTCGCTTGAGTTGGGATATATGGGGGTATTGCGCAGGTAAAATTGCTTTGAGAATGAGTCAAGGGAGGAGTTCAAGTGCCGAAACGTTATGACCATAACCTCGCAGTTATCCCATATTTAATTTTAGCTTTTTCAGAGCCGATGTCCAATTTTTCTATGGAAGTCGATTCCCAAGGTTCCGATCTCAAACGTTAATCAATGTCAAGATCCGGTATTTTCTAGGAACCCGGATTCTATGCGGATGAATAAGGGGAATGGTCGGTTGTAACGACCCTATGTTTTCGATGCATCTCTGTTGCTGGCATATGAGCTTATAGTTCGGTGTCCACTCGGTCGTTGGGTGTGTATCGGGGAATATTCTTAGGGTGTCTATTTGTAGGCGAGGGATGTTTTGGCGTTGCAAGTTGCTGATTGTAGTGCTATGCCTACGCATAACCTAGAATCCGTACTCCTCCGTACTGGGTTAAAACACATCAAAGAGTTTCATTTCATTAGTCAAATAGCGAGTCGCATCCAATTAAAACGTATACTTAAAACCTGAGTTTTACATAGAATATCCCGGCCCTGGAAGTGGAGATGTAATAGTCTCATTCCATGGGCCTGCATCTATGAGACCGCAATCTAATTGGTTACTTCGACGACAATCATGTGCCGATAAGCATTTTATCGTGTGGCTTATCAATCACCTTGATCATCCCGAGGCCCATCCATCACTTTTCAGAGCCCTCAAAAGAATGAGAATTGAAACATGGATGCTTTCATATCTAGGAAGCGTCCACGGCTCTCCAGTTCGAGCGAGGAGCCCAAACATGAGTCATCAGATCCCCGCGAAGACACCACTGATACCAAGCTAGCAATACTGCTATCTCTCTTTCCGACTATCAAACAGGATGAGCTATTGGATATACTCGTATCCTGCGAAGGGTCCGTGGATAATGTTACTGAACTCCTCTCTGCAAAAGACTCCACGGCAGGCACACCCGTGAGCAAAAAGCGACCCGCTGTTACCTCATCATTCGGCACGCAGACATCTCTCTCATCGCATGTTTTTACAACCGCTGAAGATGGGAGCATGAAACCTTTGCATGAAATTGCGAGCAAGAAAAGGCTTCCGCCTCCACAAAAGGGCAAAACGCTACACCTTTACTCGCCTGAGGATATTGCCACCTACACACCTTGTACTATCATCCACAACTTCCTACCAGCTAAAGAAGCAAATAACCTTCTGCTTGAATTACTTGATGAATCGAAACACTTTTCTCGGTACGACTTCCAACTCTTCAACCGCACCGTCCAGAGTCCCCACACACACGCTGTGTACGTCTCTACGCCCGAAGAGCACCGGCAACAGATCTCAGAATACACTTACGGTGGCACATATCGGTCAAATGTGCGCCAGGCAACTCCGCAGCTACGGTCAGTGTCACACCAAGTACAGAAAACTGTCAACAACGAGATCAACAAACGAATTCGAGACATCTATCCAGACGGAAAGAAGTTACAGTACCAGTCACCAAAGGAATGGCGACCCAACGCAGCGTTTGTCAACTGCTACGACGGGCCGACCGAAAGCGTGGGATATCACTCCGATGAACTCACCTATCTCGGACCCCACCCGGTGATAGGAAGCTTGAGCTTGGGCGTGGCACGCGAATTCCGAGTCCGTCGGATAGTAGCTCGAGACGACGAGACTGCAGAAGAATACCACGACGCCAATAAGACTAGTCCGGGTTCAAATTCTGCACAGAACCAGACTGCTTCGGCTGCACGCGCTGACGCCCAAGGTCAAATCTCCATCCATCTTCCGCACAATTCTCTCCTCATAATGCACGCAGAGATGCAAGAGGAGTGGAAGCACTCTATTACCCCAGCTCAAACCATTTCCCCACATCCGATCTCCGGGAACAGGCGTATCAATATCACATATCGTTGGTATCGTGATACTCTACACCCACGCTACACTCCACGTTGCAAGTGTGGTGAACACACGATTCTCCGGTGTGCACAACGCAACCATGAGACACGAGGGAGATACATGTGGATGTGCTATGCTGGCTTTGCACCAGGAAAAGAAGGGTGTTCATTCTTTCAGTGGGCCGAGTTTGATGATGATGGGGATCCGGTGTGGGGAAAGAAAGCCATCCCGGACGAGGCCCCTACTCTGGCGAATTTCTCGGCATCTCAATAGGTTATGAGACTCCTATATAATAGATAAAAGAATAATCGGCTGCTTATGCGGCCTTGTCATGTCTTCTCAGATGTATAAAAAGGCACAACTTTTCTATGCATGATAGAGATGTGGAACCATCCCGCTTTTGACCTCGGATATACAAAAGTACAAAAGTACAAGCTCAATGAAGCCGAACTCCACTAAGGTTTCGAGGCGATGGCCTCAGGCGGAAAGTGGACTGGCAATTCCGCAAAACTCCACACTTGAGGGTTTTCAGCCGTCTTCACATCCACCTGTGGACCAATTACATGCCAGATGCTGCTAGCCTTTCACCGGATCGTGTCTCTAATGTATGTGAATGGGCCCATATCCAATCACTATGTACAGAAACAGGTAAGATTGCCCTCAGCTACTCCTCAACATGAAGATATGTACGGAGTATGCGGAATCCCCTCCGCCCCGCTCCACTATTTCAGAGGTGCGGTGTAAAAAGCTGAGCTCGAATTTTATGCCTTTTGTTGGTGATCTTTCATTTGCCATCCCTAGGCGATTGTGATCTGGAATCTACAGTATGGCTTCTGGAATTGAGGATGCTTTTGACTATATTGTCTGCGGGTAAGATACCCACCTGGAGAGGCTTATAATATTGCTGATCATCAATTAGAGGAGGAACCTCTGGCTGTGTGGTTGCTGGTCGTCTAGCTGAAAACCCCGAGGTCAAAGTCTTGCTGCTGGAGGCTGGACAGCATAATAAGGACCTAGAGAATGTTCATATGACCGGCGGGTGAGTTACGAGGACCTCTTTGATGCATTTATTGTTACTGACAGATCAGGTGGTCAAACAACTTCGATGCCGAGACCGACTGGAATTTCGTCACTCCTCCAATGGCGGGAGTTGATAACCGCCAAGTGAAGCTGAGTCGTGGCCGATTCCTTGGAGGATCCAGCGGGTGCAATGGCACACTTTGCATCCGTGGCAACAAGCAGGACTATGATGACTGGGGACTAGACGGATGGAGCGGAGAAGAGTTCTTCAAGTGTATGCGAAAGGTAGGTGGCACGATTCCACGCCGAAATCGAGGCCGGTACATACCTATTTGTGTAGGCACTAACAATATGAGTAGTCAGAGACCTTCCACCCAAAGGCATGGTTCCAAGCCGATAGAGAGAGTCACGGACACTCTGGTCCCCTTCACACAGAGCCGCATGATCTGGCGCCGATCTCCCAGCTTTTGATGGATTCTTTTGTGTCGCAAGGCATGCCCTTGCATCATGACATGTTCAGCACTGGCAATGTTGCGCAAGGATGTGGCCATGTACCTCGCACAGTTTACCAGGGTACGCGAACAACAGGAGCAGATTTTGTTACCAACAAGAACCACCGTGGGAACATCACCATCAAAACCGATACCACCGTCGACAACATCATATTCAGCAAGCAGGCAAACGAGACTCGCGCTTCCGGAGTAGTCACCCAAACTTCAGATGGCGGCTCTAGCATCTACTACGCTCGAAAGGAGATCATCATCTCCGCAGGCGCCTACTGCAGTCCCGCAATCCTCCTTCGATCTGGCATCGGCCCCAAGGCAGAGCTCGAACAGTGCAATATTGCTTCTTTGGTCGACCTCCCAGGCGTTGGAAAGAACCTAATGGACCATCTCGTCAGTAATCGCTACACAGCCGTTAACACCTACATGAACCATCCTAACACTCCACCCTCTAGATCGTATTCATGTTCTACGAAACCGAAAAGCAAGGTCTAACAAACGACCACCACGTTTACCACGGCGACAACTTCGACCGAACCTACGCACAGTGGAAAGAGAATAAAACCGGGTTCCTATCCACCTTCCCCTTCGGCAGTTTTGCCTTCGCACGCCTCGACGACCGATTGAAGGACGAACCTCTCTGGAAGAACGCACCGCGCAACCCAGGCCGTGACCCCATGGGCCTCACACCACAGCAGCCAAACATCGAGTTCTTTAGCACAGAGTGCTACGGCGGTCCGAAGCAATACGACCAGTTCCCGATTAATAACCAACACGCGTTTTCCATGATTGCAGAGCTGTTTGCGCCGAAATCGCGTGGCTCCGTGGTTCTCGAATCGG